GCTAGCTCGTTTACACACTGGAATTCGCGAGCGAGAAACAGAAAATTATCACGGGGCTCTCAGAGCGCCACTTTTTGGCTTCCTCGGCCTCTCACAGAGCGCTCTGCATATTCCCCTTGGTTCACGTCTTCTCACTCGTCTGCATCTATCATCTGTCTCGTCCGCTGGCGGGAATCTTTTGCCCCTTTCCCGTGCTCTCTCTCCCGTCCATCCATTCACATTTTATCTCAGTTTCTCTCTCGGCTCTCACAGCATGTCGATCATCTTCTCATCTTTTCTTTCCTTATGCCCGAGATATGCTGCAGTTCCATCTCTCCGGATCGTTGGAGCGTTTTGTTATGTATGCCTTTTTCACGTCTTCTCACTCTCCATAGTCTCTGTATTGCATCTATCTGTGTCGCCACGGCGCGGAAACCTTTCGCATCTATCCTGTGCTCTCTCTCCCATCCATCAATCAATTCATGCTTTACCCCAGTCTCTCTCTCGGCCCTCACATGTCGAACATCTTCTCATCTTTTCAGCCCGTGTGTCCGGGATATGTCCAGCCCATACTACATGTTCGGGATTTGTCCGGGCAGTATATTTACATTCAAAATTTCGGACTACTTTTTTTCAGTCCGCTCATATTGCACGGCCGGTGTACAGTACTGTAAGCAATTCGGCCATGGATGGACCCGTTGCGCAAGGATTCCTTTCTTTGTGTAACTCTCCGCAATTGCTGCCGGACCATTCTTTTTTGGCCCCGCACTCTCAGTCTCTCAGTCAGTTACTGCACGATGTACGACATCCATGGACCCGTTGTTGTGCACGGGTTCAGACGCCGGGGACAATGGATTTTACTTCTCTCGCCCCTCTCCTCTGCGCCCCAGTCTCTCAGTCAGCTACTGCACGATGTACGACATCCATGGACCCGTTGTTGTGCACGGGTTCAGACACCGGGGGGACAATGGATTTTACTTCTCTCGCCCCTCTCCTCTGCGCCCCGTTAATTTGTTTTTCTCTCGCGGTTTTTTACCCCATGGTTTCTCTCGGCTTTCACGAACAAGCAATCATTCCAATTTCAAATCCTAATGTGAATAACATACCCGCGAGAAAAGAAACACGTATGCATTACCTTGGATCCGATCTATTGAGCGGGGCGGCGAGAGCCGCTAGATCCTTTGTAGGCACATGCATCAAGCCCTCGCCTTGAGTGAACATACTAGTATACTCGTACATCATGTACTTTTCTTTAGGTGGTGTGTCTTTCAGGGGGGGCGGCACTTGGTGGTGAGGGAACTGCTGCTTGCTGTATGTATGTACAGTAGTAGTAGAGCCAGAGTCGACAAGCTCACGTCACACACATGCCAGCAGGGACCGCCGCCTTGTTGAATTCAACAACGAAGGAAGGACCTACTGTAGAGCCGTGACAACAGGTGTAGTACATGTCTACTGTAGAAGTCGATATGGAGAGGAAGCTACACTACATTGATGCACAGATAGATGCGCACAGCGCTGCTTCCGCCCAGTAATTTGTTTTCCTGCCTCGCTGGAATTCAAAGAAAAACTACAGCAGCAGTATAGGTTGCAGAAGAAGAACACTCTCGCGCACCTCACCCGGTGTATGCCTACATGCGCTTGGGATCGCGGCCTCTTCTCGCTCCACAGCAGCAGCAGCAGCAGCAGCGCGTGTTTTACGATGATGATGCCGCCTGCTGCATCTTCGCTCGGATCCGGCCCGGGTACCCGCGACAATACTTGGACGCCGCGTAGTAGACGGAGACGATGAAGACGAAGACAACGATGACGATGGTGACAACGACGAAGATGATGACGATGATGACATGTCGCGCGAGCGTTCTCTCGCTTCGACACACACAACACACACACGTGCATGTAGAACAAACGCACGAGAGGAAGGCGGGGGGGGGGGGGGGGGGGTGGTCTACATATCCAAAACTTTCGTTCGCGCACACCCTTGGGTCTTGGAAGATGCAACGCCTGTTGTACCATTTTCACGCTTGTGGGCTGATCGCTCTAACTCTGTTTCGTTTTATGTGTTTCCCTGTGTACCGTACGTACGTGCGACCAATCCCAGGCCATTCGTCTGTACCAGAACTGCCTCAAGAAGTTTCACGGTGGACGAGACCCGAGCTTGCACATCTACTTGGCTCACGCGTACTTCGACGCGCGCCAGTACAACGACTGCATGCGAGTGCTGCTCAAGGCGCTGCACGTGTCACCCAACAACCTACAGCTCTGGTACAACCTGGCTCTAGCAAGGGAGACTTTCGCCGTCGCTGTGCTGCAGAAAGAGCAGAAAGGAGAGGCTCGCACTTTGGCTGAGGTTGAGAATGCCATCGAAGACCTCAAGGTATGAGAAGGGCATGCCAATTTGCTGTATCCGACCCCGGATGGTGATCAAAGCCTGGTCAAAGCCTGGGAGTCTACGGCAGAGGGACTTTCCCTTGCGGGTTTGTGCTCACGTTGTTCGGGAGAGAGAGCACTTTCGACGTAGCGAGAAAAGCTTTCGGTGACGACCCTCCATAGAATCGCAGCACTAATCAATACCTAGTAGTAGTTTGTCTTCATTGTGCCCGTGGCTGGGAGTGGTGCTGTCCAGCTGTTTGTGACTGAAGGCTTTGCAAATGCTAGCCCTACAATCAATATCGTGCTCGTGGGACGTTTCTTCAAGTGGAGATACGCATACCAAGTGCTGAACTGTTTGTTTGGAGTCAAGGTCGTTTCTTGACCACCTCTCCGCGTGCCACAACTTTTTTTTACTTAATAGGGTGCAACAAAGCTGTTTTCCTGGCTGAAGGACTGTAAACCAGATAAGACCGGAGGAGTTCGTCACCTGCCGTATGACGCCAGCAAAGCAGAGAAACACGCCAAGTTCTGCTTCGACAATATCGAACGTGCCGCTCAGCACCTTAATCACGAGAAGATGAAGGCTGACCAACAACAGGAAGTGCACGAGAGGCACCAGCGGGCACTGGAAAAGGTGAGCAACCTTGCACAACCTTGACCGGCGGTGCCGTGCATTTCCGGGCATTGGCGAAAAGTATTTGCTGCTTGCTGCTGTTCGTGTTTGTTTGCTAACAACGCGGTTGTGCAGTTTAACACATGGAATATGTGAAGGCCGTGTTTTGAGCAAGGGCACGCCCGGCAACCACACTTCTCGCTGAACAGATGGTCCAGCAGCGTAAGCAAGAGGAAGAGGAGCAGCGGCGTCGTCAAGAGACTCACGCTCGTGAACGCGAAGAAAGGGCCAAACTGAAGCAGGCAAGCTTAGACAAGCTTCAAGAGAGCTGGACAACGCAAACGCACACGGAGCTGAGCAAGCCCGGAGGTGGGAAAGGGGGGAGAGGAAGCGAGCAAAGCTCGAACCAGGCACCTCAGTATGAGAGTGGGTCTGAAGAGGATGCAGATGTACTCTCTGACAACGACGACGATGGGGCAGGGCAGGCCGACAGATACGGGGATGGCGCCGGAACGAGCGATGCGCAGGCGCCCTTGCTGCCGCAACCTAACCTGAAAGACATCGGGTTATCATCAAGCAGTGACGATTCTGACGACGCGTTCGGGGGTGAGGACGAGGGTGAGGCCGGCGCAGGGCAAAAGAGAAAATGGGACAGTGACGAAGATGAGGCCGGACAGGCGGACCAAACGGCAACCAAGAGACAAACGATTGAAGACTCGGAATAGATCTCTATGCATATGCATATGTCGGTAGAGCCCAACGGGCACTCTTTGGACGGAGTTGGATAATAATGGTGTATGTAGACAGAGAAAAGGCGCCCGTGGCGAATAGAATGCTGTTCCACTTCACTTATTTTTCTTTCTGGGACTCGCTCCCTTCTGTACAGCAGTATTCGATCAGTCTCGCGTTTTAATATTTCCAAAATTCAAACGCTCAAGTTTGTCAAAACCAAGGTCATGTCCACGGCGCCCCCAGGCCTCGATTACCATCATTTGCGGCAAACCCCAGTCACGAGACACTTGCAGAATCAAGAAGACGCTGTAGTTGCGTCTTTCGGCGTTAGCTTGTACCGATTCTTGTAATACTCGTCTTCTGCTGCCATCTTCTTGGCGTATTTTCGCTGGAACAGTTCTTGATTGGCCTCGATGCGCCCAACGATTTCCATGACCGTGAGGTTTGAAGAGCTGGGCGCATAAAAAGTGTCAAAACAGGGGAGGTCGGACATATGGTTAGTAAATTGACACAAGTGGGCGAGAGAGAGCCCCACAACGTCACAACTCCGAGTTGTTTCCACAAGCGTCGACCCCTTTCAAGGGCTTTTGGTCGTACACTTGCCTCTTGATCTCGTGGAAGATGCCAATTTCCTTGGGCACCTCGTACGGCGAGAACCTGGTACCTGTCGACAACGGTGCGTGGCGAATATTTGGGAGAAAAATGAATGATCAGTCCGCCTTGTCAAAACACCATCGTACATGGTCCAAGTCATCAGGCACATTTTGTGTCGTGGCAGCCATGGCCAATTAAGCGCTCACCCTCTTGACCTTGACCGCCTTCATCTCCCGTTGCGTGCACTGCCATGTTGTCGTCCACGGTGCCATGTACTGCAGCGCCAATATTGAGCGACGCAATCATCTCCCTGGATAATGAACGCACAACAGAATACGGAGCGAAGAAAGTGTGATTTGCAAGTTTCATTTCCGCATAGGAAGTCGTCACACACCTACCCTGACGTATTTCTTGAGCATCGTGGTCGAGAAACTGCGCCTCCTTTTCGTCGCATCCGCCACTTACGTGCCCGAGCGAAGAAGCACGTTGGTAACTTTTCAACGGGAGGTTACGACTTTGATTCAAAACCCTCACCTTGTCATCCGTAGCGGTGCATCAATCAAGACGTCGTTGACGTACGCACAGCCAAGCACACTTAGCACTCGTTCGTTGAGATTCATGATGGGCATGTTGAGGCCGCGCTGGGCATTTACCACCTCGTCGCTATGTACACCCGCGATCAGGTAGTCCCCGAAATCCCGGGCCTGCTTGAGGATTGCCACATGCCCGGCGTGAAACATGTCCCATGCACCTAGGCGACGAGAGGTGATTCCAGCCGATGAGCGATCTTCAACGGCGTGAAATGGTTTCGTGTTGAGTTTGACGCTGTGATCACCCATACAACACAGCAGGTTTCACAATAAATGAACGCAATCGTAGCAGTCTCACCGTCAATGTATACCACTCGGGCACCCTTTGGCGGGGCTTGTACTCCAGCAGAGAAAAGCCGCAGCATCCACGACGTCGTGAGAAACTTCGATCGCACCTGTGTTGGCTCACGCCTGGATGTACGCGAGCGAAGCGGCAAGAAGTACTGTCTTGAGACGCTCGGGACACGCCGCTTACACCCCGTATCAAATCTACCAGAAATCGTTTCGAAGCTTCAGTCAACTGCTACGGAAACGTTTGAGGTATGGTTCATGACGAGGAACTATTATTTAGTACTTGGGAAATATTGATGTCGAAGTACGAAGTATGACTCTTATTGGTGGTGGCGTCGGTGTACTTTGTAGGGCACCGAACTTGAATTCCTTCCAACCATGATGCGAAGGCGCACGAACACAAAAAACTGGGAACCAGCGCGGATCTGGACACAGGACGTACCTGCGTAACAATTCCTCACCGACGATTGAAGGATGCCAACCGAGGAATCTCCTGTTCTCCTCCGCGCAGAGAATGGTGGCTTCTGCTCTGTAGCAGCATACGCCCTACAATGTCTGTAGTTGAGACACCTTCCGTCCGCGGGATAGAACGGTATTTGCCCCTTGCTTTGGCAGCCTCGTAGACATCCTTCCCGTCGACGATGCAAGGGTCGTCGCCGTGCACCACGAAGTCGATGCGATACTTGTCGATAACGTACTCGAGGTACTCCGGGCTCATTACGTACGGTACCCCCGGAACAACTTCGTCGACGAACTTGCAGCCCTCCACTGCTGTAAGACGCTCCTGGTCATTCATCACCGGTGGGCCCTTGCATTTTGCGATGGACTCGTCGCTGTTGACCCCAACCACAAGGTGCGTACCTAACGCCTTCCCTTGTCGAAAAGCGTTCATGTGACCATAGTGCATCATATCAAATGCCCCGTCCATCCAGATTCGGACTTCTCGACCACCCTTACCGCTGTCTTCTTCCCCCTCTGCTTCGAGAAGCTTCTCCTCCAGCCTCGTGACCTGCAGCTGAGCTCGCCGAAGCTCCGTGTAGAGGTGCTCACGGCGGCGTTTGTGCCTTTTCCCGAAGAAAATGTAGTAAGACGCCAGGGTCGACATGGTTGCCGCAATCCAAGTTGCCAGCTGTTCCGCATCTGTTGGAGGTACCGGTGCCCCTAACAACTCGAGAAAAGCGTTGAAGGAGTCCACGAGAAAGCTCATCGGGGCTGACCCTAGCACAAAAAGTGCAGCTGACTCCAGCGCATCCTGAAGCTGCTGCGCTTGCATGTGACTTTGCTGTATCGTGTTCACGTTATTGCACGGGCACGAATGTCGCACGGAGACCTTCGATCAGCACGGGGGGTGGAAAATAAAGCACAGATGACATCCATCGATAGGTGTTGAACGCAATTCTTTAGTTTTTGAACAAGCGGTGTTTCACGACCTCGTGCTCTTCCCACAGGCATCGGCTTGCCAAGAATATAGAGGGGCGTGTCTCAAGCAAGTCACACCCCCATCCGCAGCTGTTGACACCCTGTGCAATTGCTTTGGGCGGGAGAAGTGCTGCACCATCACGTCTGAATTGCAGTCGGTTCCCGCTGGTGCACGCGACATTTTCAGCTCTTGCGAGACAAATTTCGCGCCCATGTTTCGTATCCAGAAAGGGACCAACGCACACGCCAATGCTATCTGTACACTTGAAAGGTTCGAAGGATCTTCGAAGGAGAAATTATTTTGGTACTTTACAATATAGTAGCCGGTCGCCCCGGTGGTCTAGTTGGTATCCTCGCAACCTTCTATTTATTATAGAGGTCAGGTCAGGGGTTCGAATCCCGGCGTAATCGAGCTGATCTTGCAAAGTGAGTTTTTCTCTCGCTTCCGCTCCTGGCCTAGTGGATAGCGCTTGTTCGTGTGTACACAGAGGGAAGAGAGTGCTGAACTCTTCCTCGCTTTAAAAATCGAAGGCAGCGTACCGCAGGAGGGGAGGGTAGAGAGGGGCTCTTGCGTGTGACCACGGGTTGGAGTAAACGGCACCGGTTCTGTGAGGGTTGATTTGACGTGAAGACAAAAAAAAATAGATATATACATTGGACTGAGAGCTATTGTAGGGATGGATCAGTAATGGCCCACAAAACTCGCTCAAAAAGTTCCAACAGAAGATTGAACTCCATGCATACTTAGTCTATCAGATGGGCTACAGAGCTGCGCGCGAAGAGGCCTCCAGAAATGACCACGAGCCGACCTCCAAAGAGCATCGACGGAGTGTGTCTGTACTTGAAATTCAAATCTGTCATAGATCATAGAACTTGAGCCCAGTGTTTCGCATTCAAAGAGAACGCAACCCTCGCAGGAGTCAGAGGCTGAATAGCTTGACAACTGCTGTTGAATGAAAAAGGTTGCCTGGGGAGAGATATGCATGGCGGAGCAGAAAGACGATCACCGAGAGTTCTTGTACGCGGTGCAACCCTCGGAAGTGATGTCGTGATTTTAGAATTTTGAATTTTGTTCTACTGCTGACAGCAGTTGTACGGAAAACAACCTGTGGCGATTTTTCATATATTCCAAGCACCACCAGATAAGAATTAAGTTTGTATCAATGACATGGGGTACATATGTAGGTGGTGCATAATATACATGGGGGGAGCAAACCGAAGTTGCGGAACAGCAGCAAACCGCTGCTGGCTGGCTGTAGAAAAAAAAATTGGAGGTCTTCCTTCCGCTGCCGCCTGCCTGCCTCACCTCTCCCTATCTATCGCACGATGGTCTTCCCCGTCTTCTCCTCCTCAGGTACTCCGGGATAAGCACTCTTCGATATTATACGTGGGCACGGAAAGATGACCGTCACGTAGAGATGTGGAAGACGGACGTGCTGCGTGCGCGTGCGTGTCTCTTGTTTCTGTTGGCGGGCAAGTGGGGGGCACTCAACTAGGAACTACTTATGGGTACTCTCATACCGAGGCGGCCCCGCGAAAGGTGCGGCGTAACATTTAAAAACTTCCTGCATCTGTCTTCCGTCCTACTGGTATAAATGTACATTGAGCCTCTAGCAAACCTGGGTGTTGGCCCCAGTAATGCGAGCACATCTCCAGAGTACCTGACAAAGGCAGGATGACACTAGCTCGAGAAAGAGCGCTTCTTTCCGTACCGTTCTAGCAGAAGAAGAAGAGCTCGTTGCCACGCTCATACAGCGCATGCATACAGCAGGCGCAAGTCAGAGGGAAGGCTTGTTGTAGGTATGGGGGGAAGAGTTTCCAGCTGGGGGAAACTTAACGGAGCCAACCACATTCTGACCTTATGGAGGACATGTGCGCACGTATCTCTAATGTATGTATGTATGCATATATTTTCTAATTCAATTAACTATTGGTGAGCTTGTGGATAGGAATCCCCACACTAAAACCTATATATAGCGGCCATTTGTAGCATGAGCCTAGGAACTGAGAACCCCGGCCTCGGCCGAACTAGCGCTTCTTAAGTGCAGGCACGTGCTGAACTGCGTACGTACATGGATGGATGGAGAAGTTGACCACCCGCCGCGCAACTCACTCAATCAATTGGTTGGATGTGTAGCGTAGTACTGTAGTGTTATTGTGGAAGGCGAGGACGTCATCCCTTACTACCCCCTAACACGTGTGTTAGTGCACTGCCGCCCTCAGCGGTCTGTGGTGTTGAGACTGGGGACTATGTTATCCCAGGAACAGCTGATAAAAAAGGACCATGTATTGTATATATTCGTCACGCAAGCCCCTCAGGCAAGTGAGCTCGTGGGCTCTTTCTCTCTCCAGCACCAGGGGTCTTCTCCTACCCCCCATACACTTCATACCCATTCACGTACCCCCCATCAGGCGCATACAACGCATGCATGTAGATCGGACACACATCCAAAGTACCACAAACAGCCCCCCTACTTGATATATATGCCGTACGATCTCCCAACCAATGCAAAAACGCAAATAACCACTTGAGAAACATCCTCTACAAAAACTGATCACGCATTTAACACAAAGCGTCTCCATCAGTCAGTTTATTCACGAATCCAATGCATTCGTCCCTAGACATAATCTCAAACCGTTGACACAAAAGAATCATCCTCGGAAAAAAAACACCCAACAATTATTCGTGTTACATCAGAAAAAACGTTGGAACGAAACAAACATTTTCTGAAAAAAACAGCTTCAAGAAGAGCGTTGAATACCAAATCCTCAAACAAAACAAAAACTCAACTTCTTGACCAATCAAAACGAGAATTCGGAAAGCACTTTGGCCCCAACCATTAATCGTCAAAATACGTCAAACCCCTCCTCCAAGATAATGTCCAAGGACCAATCCCTAAACAGCGCGCAACCGCAAATCGATGCCATCGCTGTTGTCCAAGAAACGATAGAAAACAAAACAACAAACATCCATCCATCCATGCAACAGCCCCCCTGCTGTGACATCCCAAGAAACTATCCTCCCAACGTTCTTATCTTCACGTGAACAGCCCCCCTGCTGAGACATGTCCAAAAACAAACATAGATAGGAGAAACAACAAAAATATCAATTGATGTGCATGCACTCCGTAATCATAGTCACACATGACATTCCCCCCTATGATGATTGCAGATAGATGCAGAGACAGCAAGAACAAACAAACGCAGCAAAAAAAAAAAAATTGCTATCGACTAACAAAGGAACGTTACTTAATGTTCATCACAAAATCACGGTGAAAGCAGAATGCCGCTCTGTGTAGTGGTTTGGTCATAAAATCGGCGTGCTGCAAAGCAGACGCAACGTGAACCACCTTAAACTGCTTGCGTGCCACCCGCTCCCGAATGAAATGGTGACGGATGTCTAGACTATGTGCTTAGAGTTGGGGGTGGTGACCGGGTTGTTGTTGTTGGCCAAGTGAAGGGCCCCCATGTTATCCTCGTGAACTCTAGTGCACCCGATGCGCTCATCTGGAAAGATAAAACTCCAGAGATAGCGCAAGAAAATCGCTTCCTTGAAACCGTCGCCCATCGCAACATACTCGGCTTCAGTCGAAGAAAGTGTAACACTTTTCTGCGTTCGCGACAAAAACGAGACACAGGCACCCGCACACATCACAACCGCACCAGAAACCGACCGCCGGTCCATCGCGTTGCTCGCGTAATCGGAGTCAACGAAGAGTTCTAACGAGACACCGCCCTCCGTTCACACGATATCGTGTTAGTGCACTGCCGCCCTCAGCGGTCTGTGGTGTTGAGACTGGGGACTATGTTATCCCAGGAACAGCTGATAAAAAAGGACCATGTAGTGTATATATTCGTCACGCAAGCCCCTCAGGCAAGTGAGCTCGTGGGCTCTTTCTCTCTCCAGCACCAGGGGTCTTCTCCTACCCCCCATACACTTTCATGCCCATTCACGTACCCCCCATCAGGCGCATACAACGCATGCATGTAGATCGGACACACATCCAAAGTACCACAAACAACGTGTGAGCCGAATTTGATGCCGGACAAATCGTGGCCAAAAATCGGAGAGGGAATTCTCGGTCCCGCGCCTTTTCTTGGAATCAAGACGCGCGGACGTCGGTGGACGGCCGACCACGCTTGCTTCCAACAAGAGGGTCCAAAAGGCCACCTTCGTCCTCAAAGTATATGCATACAAGTATTTTGGCGGCTTACGCCGCCACGCCCAATGGAGCGAGTCCCAAGGTACATAGGGGCGGTCGTGTGTGGATCGTGGAAGGTTAACTCGACGTTATGTGTCGTAGATGCCCGGATGGTGCGCATGTCTATAGCGTGATAACATGTAGACGATGGCATGTAAACATAGGGGTGAAGTGCAAGTGTATTGTTGCAGAATCCAATGGCCACGCGCAGACACACGCTAATCCTAGATTGCGACACGCCGACGACACTCTGGCACGCAGACAAACTCGCCTCGCAAAAGGCAATCGACACGACAGTCCTATATGGCGACACGCAGCCTATAGTCTCGACCACCAATAAGCGACAACGACCGCACCCAATGATACGCGTACGACTAAGGAAGGGACGAACTCCCACGCGTCCGACGCAACAAAGGTCATTCACACAGCAGGCGTGTACCTACGGTAGCACGCAGGATACATGCACTTCGTTCATGGTGCCGATTACGCGAAGGCGACACGCTTAGGTCCAAAGGAACGATAAACTCCCACGCGTCCTAAGCAACAAAGGACAGCAGGCGTGTAACAACGCACGCTAGTGCGCAATTTGCAACTCCGACAAAACGATGGCTAGCTCGTAGCTCACGCGCAGAGGAAGCTGCAATCGTGAGAAAGCAATACCATTGCTGCCGACTTAAGTCTTGAAGCGAATGCGTGGGATGAGAACGAGCGTTGAGAGACCGTCTAGTAGTTCTACATGCACAATTCGTGTTTGAGTATCCACGAACGATAGCCTTCTGACCATTGACCAAGCCCTGCTTGAAGTTTATAGGTGTCGTGTGATCATGACAATGCAGTTCAGTGTCAAATCCAATGCATGCATGAGGCGGTACACCAGAGGCGTCAGTAGCGTGGAGGTCAGCTGCGGCAACGAAACCCAAACCGTCGTCAGTCGCGTCAGGATCGACGGTGTCACAATTGTATGCTGTGAGAAGGTCTCCTGGAAGGATGTCAAGGACGTGTGCGTTAATGGTGTCTATGGTAGCGTTGGTTGACGAAAGGATGGCTCTAGCCTTGAACTCAGTCGGGTCGGCGTCGAGAATGTCCGGATACACGAAATTGATCAATTCTTCAAAAGAGTCTGTGTTGTCAAGGACGAATCGGTCAGAGGCTATGTTTGGCATGCTATGAACGTATGCCAATAGCACGGCATCGACGCCGTCGTCTGTTGTAACATGCGGTTGGGTACCAACACCGATATTTCGGACGAACGCCGCGTACGCTGCGTCCTCTCGATCGCGCTGCGATATAGTAAGACGCATACGTTGTACATGTTTCCAAAGCGGACTAGAAATGATGGACGCATTAATTGTTTCCGCGGGCCCGCCTTGTTTGACGACAGGCCCTATCTGGCGTAGATCACCGCTTAGCAAGATATTCTTTCCTCCCATGATCATGTTATTGCCCATAAGATCTTGGAGTGTAAGATTAAGAGCTTCGACAGAAAAACGATGGCTCATTGGGATTTCGTCCCAAACAATAAGGTCACACTTACGTAATACTTCATTCTGCTCGTTGCGACTCAGCGGAGATATTGCACGTTGCACCGCTGACATTCTTTTCATCCAGTGGTAGTTTGAACATGGAGTGCGCAGTCCACCCACCAGGTAGTTGGAGACCTGCGATGCCCGTACTGGCAACACAAAGGGCTAATTTACTGAGTGATCGTAGGTGGGCGCATAGTACGCTCTCCGTGTGTGTCTTACCCGTCCCAGCAGGCGCGTCTATCATGAATACGTTAGACGATCCTGATGACACGCTGTTAACCACGCTATCGTAAACATGACGTTGCTCGACGGTGAAGTTTGGGAGATGCTCGGCAACAAACATGCGCATTTGCTCCGGATTGAATATGTGCTTGAAACGCAAGTATTCTGTGTCTCGATGGATTACGGCAGGCAGTCCAACGACAACGTTCGTTCGTCCATGGTGCTGTAACCCGAGATCGATTTCGCGAAGGGCGGCGTTATCGGCATCCAGATCGGTCATGGACATGCGCCAATCTGATGTAAAGCCCTTATTGAAATGCTCCCAAAGAAGGTTGGCAGGGGCTCCGTCAAGAATGAGCGTAAAAAATAGCTGGCGCAACTGTCTACCCAGCAAGCGCCACGCAGCTTCAGCAGCTGAAATGTATCGCGCTGAACGGCAGGCCTCTATTTCATCGCCGTCGCACAGGACCTTAGCCTTGATAAAGTCCGCGCCCTTGTTAATGTATTTGGAAATGTATTGAACTACTGCCGCTGCTGTACAGACGTCAAAACACATGTGGCAGTTGTTTTGGAAAGCAGCCAAATGTTGTACGGAGCGATCCACTGGTTGGTTTGTGGCGAAAGACTCCAGGAAATTGCCATTACCTTTGTGCGCGAACACCCTAACAAGATCCGGACACCACCTAACGAACCTCATGCACCGCTCGTTGACCGAACCCCGATGGATTCCGAAAAAAGATATCATGCAGTCGCACACGTGCAAATAGGTATGTGCGACACACGTGTAAATAGGTATTATAGGTATTATTGGGTGTGACAGAGAGAGATAGAGAGAGACAGAAAAAGAAAAGAGATACAAAACAAAGGAGAGAGTGAGAAGGCAGGGAAAGACACACAGACACACAAAGAGACACAGACACAGACAAAGAAGGAAACGGAAAAAAAATAGAAAAAAGTTGTACCGCCCATTCCGACTCTGATTCCGAGAGAGGAGAGAGCGAAAAAGCGCCGAAGAGAGAGAGAGACTGAGAGACTGAGAGTGTCCCTCACGACGGGAAGGACGGCGAGACAACGAGGCCGGAAGAGAAAAAAGAAGGCAGAGACCAATGGAATGGTATTGGAGAAGACCGTAGAGCTCATCGGACCGAAGGAACTGCCCTCCGAGCGACAAAATTGCGAAAACTGCAAAATGCGAAATGCTGGCCTGTGAGCGCTCGAACGGTCGGGACTTCACGCTGAAAGCAAGTGATTAAGCGTGGTGGCCTGAGAGCGCTCGAGAGAACGATCCCTGGCCCACAGAAAATGCTGCGATTCTAGGAAAAAGATAAACGAAATAAAGATTCCGGAAAAAGATATTCATATAAGAAAAGATAAAGATATGCTATTCATATGAGAAAAGAGGCGCACACAAGTGCAAAATATGTGTGACACACGTGTAAAAATTATAGGTATTATTGTGTGTGTGACAGAGGGAGATAGAGAGAGACAGAAAGAGAGAGACAGGAAACAAATGAGAGAGGGAGAAGGCAGAGAAAGACACACAGACAGACACAGAGACGGAGAGAGAATCACAGATACAGACAGAGAGAGAAACGGGGAAAAAATAAATATACCTGGTACCATAATGATAAAGTTGTACCGCCCATTCGGACTCTGGTTCCGATTCTAATTCCGAGAGAGGAGAGAGAGAAAAAGCGCCGAAGAGAGAGAGAGAGAGAGCGTCTCTCACGACTCGACGGACGGCGAGACAGCGAGACCGGTAGAGAAAAAAGAAGGCAGAGACGAACGGAATGGCATTGGAGAGGACGATAGAGCACATCGGACCGAAGGAACTGCGCTCCGAGCGTCAAAATTGCGAAAACTGCAAAATGCGAAATGCTGGCCTGTCAGCGCTCGAACGGTCCGGACTGCAGTCTGAAACCAAGTGAATAAGCGTGGTGGCCTGAGAGCGCTCGAGAGAGCGTTTCCCGGCCGGGAGAAAATGCTGCGATTCTAGGAAAAAGATAAATGAAATAACTGTTATTTACCAATGATCAACTACATAGGTCTGACGGTGCCTGGGCGGCGGATTACTCGACGACTTGGGGGAGACGATATTGAAACATGAAAACGACGCAACTTCTTGTACCTCGTTCCCAGTCCCACACGGTGCGTGAAATACAAGTAAGGCTAGGAGCATGGAACAGGATATTCCCTGGGTGTCAAACGAAGTCGCAATACAAGAGTACTTAGCACATGAACTTCGGGTAGACCAGTTCTGTAGACACGAATAATGAATGCAGAATCGACCACATGCAACAGCAGTGAGACAACAAAGAAGGCAATCAATCGCATAAACTTTGAACATATGTTGAAAGGGAGGGAATGGTGACGTCACAACGAGATCCCAGAACACAGTCGTGGGAAGAAGTAATGGAATCATCTGCTTCAACGCAACCACCAAACACAAAAGCAAGAAACACAACCCTCTCCACGTTGAGCAAGTATACCGTCCTTCGCAGAGTTCGTGTGTTATGCATGGGTCATCGCATCACGTGCAAGGTAGAGGTCGGGATGAAATGCGCTGAATGGTGTCTCTTAACTCATCCAAGTGCTTAATGTAGCCCGGGGGTAGCCCCCAGCTTCATCTGAAGCTCGTTTGCCTTGTGTTGCCGCTCTCGTGTCTGAGTACGCGAAAAAAATTGTGCGGAAAACCGCTGCTGTTTGGAAATGAAAAGTATCTTTGCGCGTCCGAACACACACACGAAAATCTTAGTCGCGAGGCAGTGCAAGCACTGCCGGCATCGGAGACAAGGCGAACAGGAGAGTGGCCGCAGCACCTCGAACTCCACCCACGGCGCTTACAACAAGTTGGGCACGTCTCTAAGGAAACCCGAAGGCGCGACCGAAACCTCTCACACTTGACAGCGTGTTTGAGGGAGTTCGCTGACGGGGACGCCAGACTCCACGGAAACCTTGACAATCGTTGCAAGTCGTCAGCCATCCGGGACACAAGTACTTGGTGCGTACATCTTCCTGCTTCACGAACAAAACGTGGCATCGAAACGCATCTAAGAACCGCACCGCTGTCCCTCCTCGTGATGCCGGTTACGCCGAACAAAAACATGGGTTATAGTCTTGCATCGTCATAGTCGGGAGTCGTGTGTAGTGTTTGTCGCCGCAAACCTGCTGCTAAAAATACAATTTTGTATGCAGATACGGAGGGCTATCTGTCGACATCTGCATCCGGATCATACAGGTAACTCGTTAAATGATGGAGTAAAAGTCCCACTAAAATAAAACCCTTCACAAAAAAAAGCTAGAGCAGGTCTATCCTACGTCTTTCGAGCGAAAAACCTCTCCAGGATCCAATGACGGAGGAACACGGTCTTTGATTTCCGCCAGGGTGATGTCCTCGCCAGTGTCCATATTTCGAAGCTTGACGGCCTCTTCCATCCCAATTTCTCCAACCACTTTTTCTTTGTTGCTTGGGGGAGTGCGTAAAAGCTTCTCTACCTCAGCCGCATCCGCGCTTGCCGCGCTACCTCGCACGCCGCTATCTCTGAAGCGAACTAGGTCCCGTTGACCACTCTCGGATGCTGCACATGAGATTAGAGCGAGCAAACGCAGATGGTTAGAAATGCGAGACACTCTTAGACCTAGCTTAGTTTCAGCACGTTCACAAAGGCTGCATCAGACTCTCGGCTAGTTGCATCCGCCGAAATCAACCCAACCTATGTCAACCATTACCAAAAGCAACAGAGGTTGCAAAAGCACAGGAGTGACTCATGCATAACATGGGGGTTGGCGACAACGAACGAGTACCGTGACTACATCCAACTCCGTGATGATATATCCCAAGCGAGAACACCAACATACCTATGGGGACACTCATGTGATGCGTGCCCTCTTGTCCAGGGGTTTGAAAGTCGACCTCGAGAGTCATACTCGCCCCTGCGCCTGGCGCCTCCATCGCGCCAGTACCCGTCAACGGCCCGTTGAGGCCTTTGTGCAACGCAATCGTGATGTGCAACATTGGCTCGATTTGCGCCTGATGTATGTCGGCAAGGTTTGCACAGCATGAGGGCGTTCGCGACGGTGAGTTTAGGTGTCACGTGTTTGTTGTGCTCATGGAACACAGGTGAACAGCAAGCAGTGCCTATAGATAGCGGACTGTGACATGTTCATGTTCATCTCAAGTCAAGCACGCACCTGATGACAAAGAACGAACTGATCCACACCCACGTCGGTGATGACAGCAGACGAATCGAGACCCGGGAAGTCCAAATCAGGGTCCCAGTCATCGTCTGCCATACGCAGTACATACTTGTCCGCACCCTTTCGGATGAATCGGAGAACAATATTGGGCGGTCAAGCGGTGTCAGAGAAACCACTCCTAATTTGTTTTGACTCCAATGCGTGCAAGGTGCGTGATTCCCAAGATGCAACAAGCAGAAGTCGGTACCAAGTAACGAACCGAATATCAGGTACAGCGCATTTGACTAGACCAAGGTACCAAGTCGCATTGTGTCGGCTCCCGTTTTGCGGGTAGAAAATACGGGATGGATGCCGACAAATATAGAATCGGGGTGGCGAAAAAAGGGGTTACACCGTTGGGGGAACGAGCGGGTCAGCAAACAATCAAAGGTGGGGCATTCCACTGTGTAAGATCAGAACCACGTTATACGTCGCCACATAATATGAATGAGAAGCGGTGGTATTTTTAGTAATGCGACAGAAGTCAAGTGCTTTCAATTTCCATCGGTGACCTCGAAAAAGCTTGCATTCAGGAAACACTTTGTTCATCAAAGAAACGAGGGATGGGTAGCAGCCTCTCACCTGCGTTAACTCGCTTCCCAGATCACGCGACTTGCACTCGGATACCAAAGCCCTAATCAGCTGCTCAGCCTGATCATGACACGGAGAGCAGCATGATGGAAAGAATCATCGCAAATACGTCCCGACATCCAACACACAGGCCAACAAAGGAATGGGGAGCTCACACCTATACTTGTGGTGGGACCAGAATCCTTCAAACACTCGTTCGTTCATGTTTCTCAAACATTCAGCGGCCATCTCTTTCTGTTGGTAACCTTGCATCCTTGTGATGTTTGGACGTGACTTCGAATCTCGCTGCAAGTCACGAGAACTGCGATATTTGAGTCATCTTGTGTCCAAACAAATGTGGACAGCCACTAACTCGTGAACACGCAACATTGGACCTCGAGGTCGACGAGGGAACGCAACGGCATAATCTTTCTCACGACAAAGAAAAAAGGCAGCCACCGCACAAGGAAGGTGCAGAAAATCTTGCGTAGCCTACCTCCTACGTGCAACCCATCGTTTAGTCCAAAAACACATGCCGGCGAAGGGGCAAAAAATTCGATGCCTGTTCACCTATGGTACATTGGTAGTTTTCATGTTGCTCTTTCCCACGCAGCTCACCGTACACCCCCCTGGACCATGATCAGTGCCATGGTCTACACGCGGATCCCCCATCAAGCTCTCTCCGTCGCTTAAAGTAATCGTATCGTCACGTTGTCGAGCCCCGGCAAGTAGTCCGCCAAGCCCGGACTGCGACGCGCCGATCTGTACAGCTGCGAGCCCGGCAGCAAGCAGCGAGCCCTGTTGCGTTTCTTCCGGAATCTGGGAAGTGAAACGGATTAAGATTGCGACCGCGCTTGCAGCACTGAGAAAATTGGCAAGAATGAGCAACTGCGACAATTTTCAAATGAAAGCCAGAAGGCACGACAACCGGCACCCACAGAGTCAGCCGGGAGACCTAAGAATGGACAGCCACAGCTGCGCATCGCTTAAATGCACTTCACTGTAAAGACGAGCCCACCTCCGGAACATCCTCTTTGACGATCAAGTCGGCCTTGCCAATGCCTTCTTGGGTGTCAGTCACCACTTCATCTGCAGCCTCCCCGTCAGATTCATATCTTGCAAGAGGTGAGTCTGAAACTGATGGGTCTGGAGGATTGTAAGCGTAGCCATCCCGCAACGTCTCTCCTTCGTACGACGACGAAGGTGTGGTGTCCATGAGCTCCGAAACGAAGCGCTGTTCGCTTTGCGCAGCATCACTGTCCGCATCGCGAGACACCCCGACGCTGCGCCGACGCAGATCTGCGAATTTTATTCGCTCCCCGGTGCTGACTTTCTTCATCTTGAACAAGAAGGAAGCCCCGCGGATGGGCAGAAGTCCTGCTTCAAGCGGTGTACAATGCGCTACCCTTCTGGGAAAAACGAGCACACGAGACGGAACGGATGCACAGCTTCGGACGCAGGCTATGGGCGTGTGCGTGTTGCTGGTAACATACTTGATCGCAACCCTGTCCAAGGCGAGGTTCTCTCGTCGGTTGGCACATCATTTTTGAACTCCGAGATAGGGTCATGCAAAAGATCACGCACGTGCTGCTCCCACCAGCTAAAGATATGAGCTTAACGAGAACAACGGTACAAACCCTGGAGAGTCCCAACCGTCTCTTGTGCTGGAGTCTCGAACCTTTCATGGTGCACTTAAGCAGTAACGGTACTGGGACATACATAAGGGAAAAAATCTCGTGATGAGGCCATGTGGTTGTTGTGCCGATCGCTGTTCAGTACCGTACAAGTCATTCATGCTAATCCATTCGGCCGCCCAAACGGCTACTGCTGTAGCATGCCCGGTGTATTGTTCTGATCTGAAAAATAACAAATTCTCCCACACGGCAAGACTTGACCTGGACACCAAGACACCAAGACCCATGGAGGACCAAAAACAAACGGCTCTCTGACACACGCCCCAAAAGTAGCCCGTTTAATGCGTTACGGGACACAACAGGGCCGAAACTACAGAGCGCAATAAGGGCCCAATAGATGCGTGCGCCCGAAAGATTCGCAAACTGACGTCTTTTCATTGGTCAGTCGGTTAGCGCGGTCGATGCATGTAAGATTGATACACACATACACCGAGACCTACCTCCGTCGGTCTACTACTCACCACGGCAACACCACAACGCCGACCTCGACCGGGGCCTAACTAAAATAAATCAGCGTTGTTGGCTCTAGTCAGAGGTTTACGATGCGCTCATATGCTTTGTCCTGGCACGAGCGACGCAACAGGTGGGCTAGACAACACAACTGCGGTTGTCAGGTTGTTATGGTGATGATGCACCCGTCTTGTTTCGTCTCCCTGAATTTCAAAAGCCAATCATCCATACATATTACGCTGAACTTGCCGAACTTTTAGACGCACACTTCAGCCTCAGGGCACAGCTAAATACATGTATGCATAAGTGGCACTCGAGTCGGGGGTCGGCCCTTCGAATACAACGAGAAATTGCGTCCAAAGCCAGCCTAGACCAGCAGGCCGGAACGGTAATGCCTGTGTCTTTTGATGAATGTTTCTACTACAAGTACCATGTTTGATATCACAAAACGCTTGGGCTGTAGTGCAATCCATCGTTTATAGAGATTCCGGTAAATATCTACAACAAATATCTACAACAGATTATTTCGTCATCTGAGCTCCCGGTGCACGTGGAGAGAGGCGAGTGTTAGTTACGGTATGAGTTCCGCGACGAATACCTTCAAATGATGAAGGGCGTTACAGACATCGTGAAGATTAAGTCCTACTTCGTATCTTCTATGGCGGAGCAACGGCTACACCGCGTCATGCGTGAAGATGTGTGTGAAGAGAGATGTGGAGATCACGTGCTGACTCTCGGAGCAACGTGCGGAATATATAATTTTGATCACCATCTGGATTCAAGAGAGCAGGATTCAAAGAACGCATCGATAGTCTTGCAAAGGATGGGGCTTCACATGCAAAAAAGGTGGCATGGCTGTGGCTTTCGCGGTTTCGGTCACAGTATAGGCGCGAATTTTGCCCGCGGTTGACAAGAACCGGCACGATGACTCCATCTTTACACACCTATCGGCGCACCTGCCCGAGCAAACACACACACACCTCCTTTGGCGTCAAGCCAACCGCAGGGTCCTTGGTGGTGTTTTCGACAGACAATGAGCCTTTTTCAGCGCGATAGGTCGTTGATGACTCGTTCGACCACCTCAAATTTCTTGCAGAGAGCTTCTCCGTCCCGTTCTCCCGCCGCCACGGCGGTCGTGCGTTGATGGGATGGGATGGACACTCCCGTAGGGCTGGCCGGGGGGCCGCAACATGAAAAATAAAAAATTGCACATGGTGCGTCTCGACAAGTCTGGCCATCATTTGCACCCCAACTCATCACCCTCTTCCACTGTCCAGCCTCACCACGCGTGTGAGGATGTCCTCGTCAGGGACGTCAGCAAGCAAACGCCCGGATCGATTCCATGGGGCGTTCACGGGAGGCTTCTCGGCTGGGTTTTACAACTCGGTGTGTATTTGTCTCACTCTGTACTCTGTATTATTCATATTTGTATACATTGTATAGAAGGTAGGAGTCTTGTATGTGGCCTTGCATACAAAAAACAGCAGCAGCTTGTGACTACATATTCTACAGCAGTGTACCCTAGCCTTCTTGACAGCAGTGTGCATCACTGCTATGACTTCAGCAACACTGTAGTCTATGTTGTAGTCTACGCACCTTGCTAGAGAGTCTTGTGTGTTTTTTTTGTCGTTGTGGTTGTATTACAATATATCCAGCAAAATGAGTTAAGGGCGCGGCGGGGATCGCACTCTTTGTCCTCTTCAAAAAACCAGGGACCGCCTGCATACACTGTGTTGTATCTCAGTTTTCCAAAGTCTGACTCCAGTATGCATACGAAACTACAGTACCATCTCAGATTAACCGTCCGCCGCGGTCGCTAGTGTACAATGTCAGTGCCTGGGATTGTAGCCCTTGTGATACACGGCAGACTATTGTAGCAGTCCGCGATTTTCCGTGTGCTTTTTGACTGTGCGGCCCGATTTTGAAACACTTCAGCACCTTTGCTTGTGGCTAAGACCTACATATGCATGACCCCAGGCGTTCAAATCGACTTGTATGGCGACGAGAAGGACAGTCAGGGAAGAGCTGCGCTGAAGTTCGCGGCCCCACACACTCACGCAGGCGCTGATTTGCCGTTGTTGTTGTTGTTGTTGTTGTCTTCACATTTAAAACAGTTCCGATCTCTCTCTACCCAGTACCTTCATATGTCCGTACTGATCCAACACTCGACGCGGTCGATTCCCGTGGTCACAGGTTAACTTACCCTAAAAAGGTACACTCAAATAAACTGGCCCCGAGGGGTTCGCAAGTCAATAGAAATCAACGACAGATATTCTGGAGTCCTCCACTCCCTCTGCGCGCTATGCGAGGTATCAACTGAGACTAGGAGTCACTATCACGGGCCGGAGAGAAAGAGATACACCCCGTTGGTTCAATCTTGGTACTTCACAACGCAAGCAGATACAAGACCATCTAAAAAGAGAGAAAAATAAGAGAGAAAAATAGAGAACAGAGAAAAAGAGAGAACAAATAGAAAGGAAACGGTTAGGAAAGAGAAAATAAAATGAAAAATAAAGATGAAAAAGAGCGAGGGCAAAAAGGCACACAGTGGAGAGACTACTAACGAACGAGCAAACACGCAAATATTGCCACCAACCAGCGATACATTGTAATGGTACGTCATCACTAGTGGGGGATTGGTGCAATGGTGCAGCGTTGGGGGGGGGGACTTGGCTAACAGAAAATCAATCCGGCACGTATCGCGCCACTCGGTCCGTCTCTTCTCGTTTGCTTTCTTCCCTCGCCGTCTCGTCCGTCTCCTGCCCCCCTCCCGCCCCATTGGTTGTTGGCTTGTGGTTCGTGTGAGCGCTCGTTGTCGGCTGGCCTCTTCTTCCTTCTCGTGCCAGAAGGTCATGAACCTCTCAGCTCCCTGCAGCACCGCCGCATGCCAGGGTACTCCCCCCTCCACCTTCGCGGCTTCCGTCCACGTTAACTTCGGTGCCGTGTCTTTCGGCGCCGTTATATGTGCTTGAAGCGTTTCAAATTCGGACCGCAGAGCAGCTTCAAAAAATCCTGCTTGTGACTCACCGATCTCGATTATAGAAATCGCGGATCGCGCTATTTGTAGTCTGCCGTGTATCACAAGGGCTACAATCCCAGACACTAACAAAGTACACCAGCGACCGCGGCGGACGGTTAATTTGCGATGGCAGTTTCGTGCTGGAGTTAGACTTTGGAAAACTGAGATATACAGGAATTCCCTGGATTTTTCAGAAGAAGGTACTGCGACCCCCCCGCGCGCCCTTAGATTAGGCAGAGCACCGATCCATATGCATAGGGCATTTTTTTTTCAAGACACGGAAGAACTTCCAACAATTATCTGTGTTTTAGAGGGGTAGAGCTGGGTAGATGCCCAGGCTCTAGGGAGAATCCCCATGATCCTCTAACACAGCAGCACCACACACACCACGCAGACAACATACGCGACAACCAGCACAGCAGTTTACGGACTGCTGTAGGCCAAGGGCAGACAAAGACACACATCATAAGAGGCGTTGGGTGTGACTCTTACAGCCCGTTGCCTGCTGTCGGCAGCACAAGCGAGTGACGACGCAAGTCAATCTGCAGTCCGACTGCATCATACTCAACCTACCGATCATTGAAGCTTCCCATACAGACGCATCCCCACAACAGAGACAACGAGACGTACGCACTGCTGTAGGCCAAGGTCGGCCAAAGGCACACATCGTGACTGGCGTCGGAAGCTATTTTTAGACCCCGAGGCCTGCTGCTAGCAGAGTAAGCGAGGAAACATGCGAGTGCACACAAGTCAAATCTGTCTGCGGTCTGTGTTAGTCTGCAGGCCGATCTTTGCTTCCACCACAGAAACACCCCCGAAACGGAGACAAGTGAGACGTGCACAACGCTGTAGGCCAAGGGCGGCCAGATATACACATCGTAGGAGGCAGGCGCGATTTTTAGAGCCCGTTGCCCGCTGCTAGCAGCGAAAGCGAGGAAAGCAAGTGCACACATATCCTGCACGGCAGCAGCAACAGCAGCAGCAGCTGCTGCTGCAGCCGCTACATGTAGCTGGTGATTATGAGAGCTAAACAGCGCTCCCGGTCATCCCCTGACTGACGGGTGGTGTCGGGTGAGGTGTGAGCGTGTGCACTGGTGACCTCTGTGGTGTCTTAGGCTCCATCCATATCTATGTACGCTTGCTTTGATGTCTCTCTCCGCCCTTCTTTTCGCGCTTCGCGCGAAAACATATAGTATACAAGGTGCGGGGGTTAGGTGATTTACCTCCCGGGGTCGACGCAAGAGGACATGGCCAATCGATTCCATCACGGTCGCATGGTTGGTCGTCATAACGTTCGGTAGTGCCGGTTTTTACGTGCAACGTGCATATTGATTTTCTTTGAATTTGCAACATATGCGGGGTAATTTGTTTTCTCCCGCCGTGACTTTTCGCATGTGCGCGAGTGTGTGGTCTTCCGTTAGCGGCGTCTTTTCTGCAGGTCCTACTTCTTCAATCCGCTGCGTTTGATCACTTTCTCGCCTTGCGTGATCGTGTTTCCCATGGTCTGTGGGACTTTTTCACACAACACCAACAACGGATCAAAGAGGTGCTCAACGTACCGAAGAACAGTCACAGCTGTAGGCTGCTACATTGTAGTACCACAACTTCTAAATATTTGAATTTTTCGATTTTTCGGAATTGAAATTTACATGACCGCTGCCAGAGTTGTGCGAGAGGACTTCTGTATCGCGTGTGGTGTGTTCCCATGAGCAACATCAAGAGCTTTTGTCCCCGCTGTGGGTACGCATGCGCCAGTTGCTGTGGTTGTGTACACAACAATCACAGCAGCAATGTGGGCGCGTGGGCGCGTGGCGCGTGGCGCGGGGCAAAAGCAAATTTGTGTTTTCAGTTTTCATGCCATTTGAGGAGGCTTGTATGGTTCGGATTCCAAACCCTGAAAAAAGAGCCAGTCCCGGCGACTTGTCGCGCACCACCGGTGTCTCCCGAGCCCCACACGTAACAGGTAATGTACCGACGGGGCCATGCAGAAGAAAGTGCGAGAGAAAACGTTGTCCCAGCGGAGAAAAGCGAAGGCGAAGGCGAAAAAAGTCGAAATCCTACATATGCATATATTTTTTATTGGACCCCTGTGTATGGGAAGTGAGCCTTAGTTTATACTGCCCAGCTGTAAAGTACTATTAATAAGCAAACAAACGAAACTTTAAATTTCGGTAGTCTGCTTTTGGACAGCCCGATTTGCAGTGTGTCGAGGACAGCGATGACCTGGGCTTAGATAAATCTCATGGTTCCGTCAACCCATTACCTGTGCCGGATTGCCTCGCGTATGCTTTGGTGTCGTTAACCTAGTACTTCTTGTACTGTCGTGTGTGCGCGGGGAGTTGTGCAGATGTCCTCTTCTGTGACCCAGGCGAAGCCTGCTTTAGAAGCGGTTTCAAGTTTAACTTCAGCATAAAGTCTACATATGCATACGAATCTACCGTCGCGCCAAAGCGCAGCCAAGTAGGATTGCATCCCTTGTGACATCAAACAGATTTGCGGTCCGCGATTTTTCGGGAAAACGAGCCTTTTTTCATTGCCTTCGGTGAGCTACAAGCATGATTTGGATGCTATGTTGGAAACAAGTACTTGTAATACAGCTTGGGCGGTCTTTTTTTTTAACGCTTCAAGTATACAGCCTCCCAGATAACGAGCCGATGTGTGTGCGTGCGAACCAAATAAATGTCGACAACGAGATGAATTGCCCGAAGACCACTGGCACACCGCCACACGATCAAACGCGTTCAGCATGTCGTCTTGCGTCATCCTCGGGATGCCTGTAACCTGGTTCGTAACTTCGTGGATGCGAGATAACAAGCACGAAGGAGAGGAAAGGAGAGAGGAAAACATCATCTATAGAGGTTCCAGGGGCGTGGGACGAAGGGTGCAGAGCAAAGAGGCAAGGGGAGCAAGACGGCAAGAATACCAACGTCACGTTCATCTTCTGTGTACATACACATACATGCATACCACACCAAAGTATTCTTCTGTGAGGCATTTCTTGCATTCGGCCATCACCGACAGGAGCGAGAGAAACGCGCACTCATCTGACACCAGGTCTAAGTTGACGCAGGCGCACAACCACTCGAATTCACAACACGTGCACGAGATGCCAGGCGGCACCATGCTCCGCGCCAACTGCACCAGACACAGAGGCACGAGTTGAGAGTGCCTACCCTGAAGCTCTTGCTTGTCCCGCAGAAAAACCGCGAGCAGTAAACAGAGACCGCTCACATCCTAAAATTGCGACGCCTAACTGCTGTACTCCTATTTGATACCTGTTTCTTTTTATTCTTTTGACAAAGAGGGACGATTAAACACTTCGTTCGTAGGTCTCAATTATTACAGCGAAATTTTTGATGTCATAACTTGACCCGTTAGGTTGGAAGCGCCGAGGGATGGACTCCATCTACCTTCTCCTCCTCGCGGGACAAACGGGCTGCGCCCAAAGAGCAGAGACCCGAAGACTTTATGGATGACGAGGACGGCCTCCTCACCGAACAACTGCAGGTATGGTTCCATGGTAGGCTACCCGTTCCGTTAAGGTTTCCACGAATCGCTCACATAAACATCCTCTCTGCTGTGCATTCTTGAACTTGCAACCTGCATCCGGCGCTGAGCTTCGTGCCCTCGCACCGAGATTATTGTTCACCTACCAACCACTGGCGCTGGTATCGCTGCTGTGCCGCTCCCGCCCACCCCTCCTCTGTTTGCAGGCCAAGCCGGCGTTTGATACGCTTGGTTCCACAGCCGATGAGGTCGCAAGAAAGCACGCGGAGATGGAGGCAACTGGGGGCGCCATTCCTGGACCCGCGCCCTCAGAGCTCATTATACCGGTGGGCGACCCAATGGGGAAGAAGCTACTGAGGACCATGGGGTGGAGAGAGGGGCAAGGAGTTGGAAATCGGGTCAGGAGGAAGCGGCGACGGCCTGCACCAGCCGAAGCGGACGACTCGCCCGAGGATGAGTTACCCGAACAGGCGCGCGCAGGGCTCGGGGGAAAAGGTCGAGAGCTACTTGACAAGGAAGGCTTGACGTTTGCTCCCACAAACGCTGACGTCAAGATGCAGAGTGTTCTTGCGAAGACCAACCTCCACGGGGTAGGGCACGAACCTTTCAAAGACGCCCCCGAATTTGGAGCAGCCAGAGCCGGAGCCACGGGTGTGCGGAGTGTTTATAGCACTGAAGACATCGTGCAGCACCCCATGGATGCTGGTGCTGCGGGAGGGATAGTGGCCGGGGTTTCGCGGCGGTCATTGGCGGCCGCAGTCGTAGATAGAGGAAGTCATGGTTTCGTTTTGGATGATGATGAAGACGACGTATATGAGTCGGGCCTTGACAAAGAAGCATACGACCAGGCCCTAGATGCAGACGGAGGCAGAGCAGCTGCCCATGCCGGTTTGTCTGGAAGTGCAAAGGCGTGGGCGTTGAGCGGGGCGGCAGATGACGATGAGGACGAGCCTCTGCTGGCCTCCCGAAGATACGCAAGATGTCCTTCGGACGGCCGTCTGCCGCCGACGGGCTTCGTGGTAGCCCAGCGACCGGACGTCCAGCAGAAGCACTGGGCACCGCCAATCCCGCCGGCGAACTTCCGCCCGACGGTCGAGTTTGAGGATGACGCTAAAACCCCTTTGGAGCTGTCCACAAGTCAGAGGTACGGCGGCGCTCATCTGGACGCATCTGGGCGTGCACGATTATTGGGCGAGCCATCTGCCCAGTCGTTGACTAGCACGCCTGTCGCTCCACCCACCGTCCTTGACAAAGGAAAGGCATACCTCCCGGACGGTTCATCCGCGCTCTCTTTCTTGTCTCCAGCAGCACGCAAAAAGGTCCTTGAGGCTGCGAACGCAACCAAGGCACCCTCCCGTTTTTCGCCCGATACTGGAGCGGCTGCTTCAAAGCATCAGCGAACTCTTGGATCTATGAGCCAGGTCTGAACCGAATGTCATTGCCGTTCGCGTTGTGCTTCCAAGTATTTGATATTGGCTGCTGTTCATAACTGGCTCGAAATTGTGTGTTCGGTTGCTTTCGATGCTCCGTAAGTGCTGCATGTCTTGGGGCGCGCCGAACATGTCACCGTTGTGTCCCGCTGCCTTGCTTGCCGGTGCCCCTTCGAAGGTAATGAGTACAGCGAATGACCTCAATCACACCTTTGCCCCTTTTAGACGGGAGGTTTTGAAGAGGTTCATGTTGCGCAAGTATTTTGCAACTTATGTAATACAAGTAGAACATCATCTTACGAAAGATCCGTGCTTTTCAACAATGATGAAATTCCGCAGGATAATTCGAGCCAACAGTCTGAAGGCCTGCCATTCACCTTGGCAACCAAGTTCACGTCAGAGACACAAGCGGCTTCCAACTCTGATGAGCCTCAAGACCAAGTTGCGGGGATAGTGGACCCAACAAGTCGTCCCGCAGGTCTTACCTTGCGCAGGCCAGCCTCAACTGATACTTTGAACAAGGCGTCTACGGCAACGGTCTCAGTGGACAAGAGCGGCAGAACCGAGGTAGAGCTGAACCCCGTGCGGCGCACGGTCGATTGGATTCCGGCTCCGCTCTTGTGCAAGCGATTCAATGTCCCGGTGCCGAAAACTTCGTCGTCTAGTATGGAGTGGACAACCAAGGGCGGAAGGCCTGCAGGTGCCGAAGAGGAAGCGCTTGAACCGTTGACGAAGTTTGTTCCAGATTCTTCGGCCATCAATCAGCCTCAGGTTTGGTTTGCGTTTGTTTAGTTTCTTGATCCAACAGGTTTCATGCATCTCCTCTATTGATGTACAGTATATGTGTTCTAGCAACATGGCAGTTGACAAAAGGCTACGCCAGGACCAGCGACCAGATTGCATCGTCAGTGACGTAATTTCTTCGGCCCAGCCCCGCTGACGGTGCTGACGGTACGATTGTTTGTTTTGCCTATGCCAGATCCCTTTGCTGAAGGGCTTGGAGCAACGGCATCCTATCGGCATCATGTCTGCCTCTGCATCATCTGGGATTGGTAGTGTTGTGGTCACGGACAATGGTCCTGCGGAGAGGCCGCCCATTGACCTCTTCAAGAGTATTTTCGAGTCTGAATCTGAGAGCGACTCGGCGGAAGAAGAGGAGAGTGAACAAGAGTCAACCTTGGCAGCTGCTGGCGAACCAAGCATTAGTTCTCCAAGACCACGAGCGGAGAGTCAGCGAGCTCCTCATGGCTTGTTCGGCAAGGCTCCGGTAGACCGAGGGTACGGAACCGATTCTAGCGAAGAAAGCCCCGGGCAGGTTGAAGGCGGACATCAAGTCGTCGACGAAGCAGGGGGTGCTGGCGGCGAAGGGCCGAATGTGCGAGGCGAAAAGACGAAGTCAGCTCGTGACGATGACAAGCGCAGAAGAAGAGTGAGCAGCAGCAGGAACCACAGCAGCAGGAAGCACGGCAGCAGTAAAAAACACAAGAAGAAGCACCGGTCGGAAAAGAGGGATCGAAAGCACGACCACAAACGAAAGAAAAGTAGCTCCTCTAAGAGGTACTTTTCGAGTTAGCTTTCAGGATGGTGACGGTACTATACATGTTGCCAGCCTGTGTTGACCTAGCAACGTGCCCCCGTTGGGCTCAACTTGAAAGTATTCATGATGTCAACGGAAAGTCTTTCATTTCGACGCGGTTTGACAAGGCCCGACGAGCTTGCGCCTTATGAGATTTTCGCTCAAACCGCACTTGTCCGGTGTGTATTGTATTCTTGACGCCCACGTTGCCTCGCGCTTGAGCTTGTCTTGGGATTTTGCGCCTGTTACATATGTCTCCCTCTCCGCGGGGTTCTCAGGGCGGTTCGCGGCACACACGTTGATGTTGTGCTGTGAGCCAATAAACGAGGCTGGAATAAACGAAATAGCTCTGCCAAGATCTTGCCGTCCCCACAGTAGGTGTTTTCGCGTCTTAACAAGAATAGACATACTGTACATCCTAGAGAGGAGTTGTAGCATGGGCATGGCAAGTGGGGGGAGATATCTTCGCGGCGTCGACCTCGCTCGCCTGCTCTCATCGTGTGAATCGTCCCTCTCGCTGCCCATTACTTCCTTGACCAACCCCATATAACTTGCTTGCGCAAGTTCATTCAATGGATCCCGACGCTCTGAGGCTCTTTTTCTCACAAGAATTATTGCTGAAATTTAAATTGCGATCCCAATGGTACAGTTGGCTTACAGTTGGCTCCCAGAGACAGGTACTGCTGTACAGTAGTAGTGGCCTCTTTTCGACACCTGAGCATACCCAAAAGTCTACCAGAAAAATACTGCGCTGTTTCATCAATATCTACCATCGGTACTTGTAGCTCAATACTCCGGAGTTCATATGGTATGTTTGTTTTTTGGCAAATTCCTCCCCCCCAACCTCGCCCAGAGGTGCCAGAACCGCGCGGCAAGAGCTGCGCTTGGCGCGGGAATTCGTCGGTGAAACGCTGAAAATACATGCGAAAAAAACACACACACCCAACACCTTCAAAAAGTAATACCACTACACATTTCAGTCCTTCTGGTGTGTTTAGAGTGCCAACATCGCCGTGAAGACTACGCACGCACGTGTCGGATGTTAGATGAATTGCGCAGTCCCCACATGCATGTTGTAGAAAATCCCATCTCTGTCTATATGAAACATAGACTATATGAACAACACAGCAGACACACTCGCATCTCCACCCTATCTCCACCCCCACCGTACGCACGACAGAGAACATCCCCAGCTTCTTCTGTCACTCCTCCGCCCTCTGCTACTTGCTACGTGGTAGTGAGCCTCCACCTCCGCCCTATGTGCTATGTCATGGGACATCGGGTCCACCCGCACAACCTTTCGCCTCTAACCCTCTTGGAAACCCCCCAACATTTTGTAACGGCTCATTTGTTTTTTCGATAAAGCCGGCCCGACACGTCTTGAACTTTCCTTGTGCCTCAATCTTCATCGGACACTTCTCGCAAAGCATGAAGGCTCCTTTGGCATTCACCGTCAACGTGATACTCTCGGTGACGGCGACCAGCGCTGATGAATGCCACGATATTTGTGCGGACGTGAAAAAAAGCGTTGGTTTCAAGGCTGGATGTAGCGAATTCCGCAACTCGCTGCCGAGACCGAAGGTATGTACATCAGATATGCAATCTGTGTCATGTTTCATCTTGGTACTTGTCTTGCAAATTTAGATACTACCCTGCTCTCCATGGGAGGAAGAACTGAAAGTAGGTATGCTGGGGGGGCCAAGTATGGCGCACTCTGTGTTTGGGTGATGCTCCCAGGTGTGAAACACACCGTGCAATGTGCGTCTATACCAGGTTTCGAGCAAATGTCACACGGGATTCAAGGCGGCTGTCGAAAGGAACTGCCACGACGCCTGTGTAAACGGAGGACGCCTTCAGCCATTCCTTGTCGAGCGCCGGCTAGACGAAGCATGCAACGGTGCACTGAAAGATACTCCGAGGCCGCTCTGCCACGACGCTTGTGTTCGAGGTTATCGTTCAGGCGTCAAGGACATGACTACTTCGCTCGGGAAACTTATGGCCGAGGTTCGGACCTTCCCCCAACTACGTCGCGCACGACCAATCGCAAGATCTGAGGTCCAACCGACATTCGATAGACAGAGTATTTTTACCCTTACAACACGAACAAGCACAACGGCGGAGTGCATGATTACGATAGTGTCATCTCGTTTACTTCAAGTCTGTTCATCAATATTACGAAAGTTGTTCGTGGTACACTTTTCGAAGTTCGTGGAATGTTGCCAAGGTACAGCATAAAATAGGCGTGTCTTGTGTCAGATGTGCCCGTGCCAATGTTTGTTCATTGAAGGGACTATTCACTTGATTAGATCACAGGCTGCCACCTAGTTTTGTATATGTACATATTAACAGCCTACAGCCTGTGGCAGCCAACTTTCACCGGCACCCGCTCCGTCATTTCATCATTCGCCCTGGTGATACGTGTGTTTGGGTCGTGTAGGCATCTCCGGCGGTCATCACAGCGTTGAAGGGAGATACTCTGTCCCGCCAGGCCGCCCAAAAAACGCATGTCGTTGCCACTGAAGACTCCAAGACTGTCGAAGGAGCATCAGAGGAGGTAGGATAATACGTCCTCCGTGGAGAGGCCAAGATGTAAAACATTTATGTCGTGGGTGAACGCATGCGCATGCGCACAGTAAAACATCCGGAGACCTAACGCATACTAGGCTATTGCCAACGGCCCCGAGGGGGTTGTCAAGACCTATCCGCCGAGCTTAGAAAAAATGATTCGCTGCCTGCTTCATGTCATATCTGGACGATAGCGTGCTCGTGCATGAGTTTTAGACCTGAGAGGTATTGTTGTGAGGGTTCGCGGCCTGATGTTTCTGTACGCAGGTTGTTACTTTGATGTCTCGGGCTTAGGGGCTGACTCTTCCAACAACGTGACATGCAGCGCTTCTTTTGTTCTAATAAAACACGAGCAACACACGATGCATGACATTCAGCCCTGCGTCTAGTATGAGCTCAATATCGTCTCTCCGACCGTGCTCTTCGTTATTTTCGAATTTTGTGTTTGTCGTTAGCCGATCGCCTTCGCCGAAGGTGCCATTGCCAGGCCATCGCAGATGGCTGACCTGAGTTATCACGGAAAAGACACCCCTGTCCCAGAAGAAAAAGAGCACGGAGAGATCCAGGTTCTCGAAAGTAAGGGCGGACTGCAAACAGATGCTCAGGCCATGGGTGATGGACCCCCGCTCGCCGTCGGCGACATTTACAAGGTTGAGGACGAACCGGACCTTGCGAGGGATGCTGATAGTGCGTTGATTGCTCCAGACGGAGAAACTGACGCACAGCACGAACTGCCGGAAATCAAAGATGGAGAAAACAAAGGCGAAGACAACTACATGTGGATTGAACATGTGAGGCATCTTGCTCGTGAAGTGTAGTTCTCCTCGCTTGACCTGTCCTGCATTTGGTCGAGGTGACAACCTTTGCGCCGAGTCTCTCTCTCTATGACGACGCGTAATTCAAGCTTTTTTTGGTGATCACGTATGTTCTCAAACAGCAGCGGTCCTCGCTTGTCGTGTTTTTGGTTTCCCAGGAGGAGGAAAATGTGCTGCTATCACTTCCAATCACGGTGGACAACGTTATGAAGGAGCTCGTGATCTTCGAAGGCGATCAACCGCTGGACGTAGTGCTCGCGTTTTGTAGGGATAATATGCCGGAAGAAGGCCCCGCCTGCGCAGATGAACTCATTCGTGTGGTACAAGACAAGATTTCTACCGGGAAGGCACCGCAAGAGGAGTACATTTAGAGTGCATCCCATAAATGTAACTACTGTAGGAAGGCTAGTACGTCCATAGCATTCGTTTTCTCATTTACGGGGACCACACGTTTCGGACACCTAGTAGCTCTTTTCAGGCGTTGGAATTAGAAGCATGGAGTGAACCCTGTAAGGGGGATTGACCGTGATGCCCAGAAAAACGGGTGCTAGTCTACATTTGAAGCCAGGTATCGTCTTGACACGCCGAAAAGCTCAAGAGGTCAACTCTTCAAGAAGAGGTTTTGTGCACGGTCCCTGGTACGGACTGTACGTAGACGAGATGTATTATTTTCAACACTTTTCTAGGAAGCGGGGAAGGGCGTTGTTTCCAGTAGCCCCTCTCAATCAGTCACTTTCATTATCGCCGCGCTCCTCACAAGGACGAACAACATATATTTTCAAACAAAGTGTGTCGCCCTACTGTCTGGAATTTTTTTTTATCAGTGGTACATCCAGTTGTTACGTGTCGATCTACCGCTGTACGATGGCAGCAGAAAGCGGTATCATTTGACGAAAGGTCCGGTGAAGCTGACACAAGACGAAGTTCACACACAACTTTTTCCGCATCGAAGGGAAAAACATCCCCTCGGGACTCGGCTACGACAGATTCCGCTTATTGAGGTGCAAAACGACGGACAATATGTATATATGTAGATCAATCTATGGTGATCTCATACTTAGAATATTACCGCGACCGATCACAGTCGACCTGAACTTGAAGTCACCTTGAAATTGAATACGGCGCAGCCAACGCGACCAGCGCAGCCCATGAGATTACCTTCAACTCTGGAACCACAATAAGAATGCGGGAGGGCAACAGATTATTTGAGCCTTGAATAGCTTATTCTGATGACGTGGCGGACATAGCGCACCCACCCGTGAAAACACGCCCAGAATAATCGACGCGCCGTCGGTCGGCCGTCCTCCCAAGAACTTACACCTCACCAGAAAAACAACAGCAAATACAGTCATCAAAGGGGGAAGTAGTGTAGAGGTGACGTTTTGGAAAGGGTCACATATATCTCCCCAACGGTCTGTCGAGAATGATTCCCTTCTGGTAAGTGGTGGTTGTTTCGAAACATGTAATTCCCACATCCTTATGTTTCATATGCTTTACGCACCTAATAGTTAGTCTAAACACACCGATCGAACGACCGCAAGTCCATTCACAGCAACCACATAGTTAGCAACGCGATCATTCGAAGGAACAGGTAGCGATCGCTATATACATCGTTGTGGACAGCCGAGCCTTTCTGTCCAGCCCGGTCACTGCCGCCATCGACCCCGGTATGTATCTGTTCTCGGTCAAAGTGTGTGTCTGATAGAACGACGCACTGGCACCTGGCAATATCAGAGTAAGTAATGTAGAGAGTTAGGTGTGCTCCGCACTATAGATACGGATCTACGGAATCACGGGTTTTCGTTCATATACTATATTGGTATGTATTTTATTATTAGCATCGACCGCGCTAACCGGCTGACCAATGAAAAGACGTCAGTCTTAGTGCGGTTGAAAACACAAAACTATATGCTGTCTGGGAAACCGTAGACATACAGGTACTTTCTGACGCCATGAATTCATTGCTAATCTGTCTCAGACTCTTTTCTATGATAGAGATGGATTCGTTGTGTCATATTAAGAAAAAAAAAAAACACGTCTTCTACAAGTATCTGCCATGAACCCCGTGAGTGGGCAGCATGGGGGAGGCTAAACTATCCTTCGGATCAAAGACAGAAACGGCAGCAACAGAAGAAAACTGGACGCGTCTTCCAAGGCTATTACCTTGTACTCTAGTTCGTCTAGGAGTACTTTCACCATTATCTTCCTTGTTTTCGCATTCTGATCCTCATTTTGACAAGAATCTCAGGGCAGTTCTTCCCTAGCCCTACGTTTTTTGTTTTGGGGAAGGCCATCTAGCTCAAACCATTTGCTCTCTTCCACTCCTCCATGTTTTCCTCCTCCATCGTCGTCTTCGTCCTCCTTTCTTCCCTTTCCCTTTCCTTCGTCTCCGTCACTCCCAAAATAATTACCCTCATTACTATCGTTGTCGCAGAGATCCCAACCGATTGGCCCTGGCGGAAGTTGGTTGATCAGTAGCCCATGACGTTTGAACACATCGCGAGTTCGCAACGACAGAAAACGAGCTAGCTCGAAGGTAACCCGTCTCCGAATCCTGTTAGTATGAAAATCTTTCAGGCGAACAAAGGCTCTTTCGTCGTCAAAATTCCCCCGGCAAAAAGCTTCGTGCGCCAAGTGGTTGGCGATAGCAACGATGGTGCCGTTGCGAAGACCACTATACGTTGAAAAAGCAGCAGTAAGGAGGGTAGATCTAGACGGGTTGCATGTATGTATGTGTTTGTAGAAGCTGATAGGTGGTCTAGTGGGTCATCGTGCTTCTCAACAATAGTTGTAATGCCCACGTCCGGTCTGGCTTTGCAGCCACGAACGAACACGTTCCCCCAGGGTTGCCATTCCTCCTGTGGTCAGCGCTGTCTTCCCCAGAGATCGCTTTCGGTACGAGAGGTTCATCGGCATATTTGCGAAGCCTACACCCTCAGAATTGTCTTCCCATATATTGGGCGCAAAGAAATTCATGCCCAAATTTATGCCCGAGGGGGGATAGATTCGAACTCCCGACATTAGTCTATTAGCTTTTTTTGAGAAGCACGATAACCACTAGATAGACCACCGTCACGATGACCACGAGACCACCAGTCAGCCACGAGACCACCCGTCAGCGGCTGACTGGTGGTCTCGTGGTCATCGTGCTTCTCAACAGGAAGGGCGATCTCGTTTCTGCCTTGCAAATGGGAAGCGTCCTGTGCACTCGTCAATATATAATATGTAGGTCTTGAGTCAAACATTACCCTCTGCAACCTCTGACGCAAAGCACCCGCTACCCAACATAATGTAGAGTTATAGCAATATATGTTCCCCATAATATACGGGTGCAGCAACACTCTACTTACTACATAGATTTACTTTAATTAATTTAGCGATGATGGAGTACATGCTAATATATGCCACATGCATTCAATGCGGCGCGTGGGATAGCTACAGATGAGTCAACCGCCTGCATGCACCAATCCATACAACCAATCATGTCGCTCTGCGTAGAGCCCTCCGGCCCCCCATTCACCAAACCACCTTGTCCCTTGAAACAACACATCCGCCACCAACGACGGGGGATGCGTCCGTTCGTGTTGCAAGCAGGAGAATATGTGCTGGCGCGTTTTGTATGTGTTGTATGAGCGTGATGGATTTTTTTTCTCAAGATCTAAGATCTGAGACGACTCTGATGTTGTAGATCTGGTTTTTTTTTTGACAGTCCCGCCACCGTGTTAAAGCGAACAGCAACACCTTCGTCGGTTCAATTCCTGCCCACGCACGCCGTACACGTTCACTCACTCACACACGCAGATGGCGGCCTTCGGAGCTCGCGGAGCTGGGTATGGACTAGACGCGGAACTTGCTCGTCAGAGAGAGGCGAAGTATGACCATTCCGCGGAAGACCAAGCGCGGGTACGTCCTGCACGAGGGGACTGACTCTGCTGCTATCTCGACTAGTCTATACATGGAACAATGCGCCTGTCTGTGGTGTGGACCTTCTCGCTGCGTTGAGCCCATCACAGGCGACCTTGCATGGTATATACATGCAGGTGCATGACGACGCACACAACAAGAAATCGTGTGGTTGTGTGGTTGTCTCTCGACAAGTTCTGAATATCGAAGTGCGCGGTCTTTGGAGGCTGCAAAACATGTGCCGGACGGCGGAGACATTCCCTTCTCCTGTGCATACGCGAAGAAGAAGTAGATGGTAGAGGCAGCAGTTCCTCGCCCTAATTCTACCCTCGCTCCAGCCCGCGATTGCGCCTAGTTGAGGATAGTGAAGGAGGTGTGTGTCGAGGTGAAGCCCCATGATCTTGGTACCTCACGAGAAAAACTATTCGGGGCTGAGTAGATGACCATCAAATGTTCTAACCGCTAGACTTGAGACTGCTGTTGCTGACACTCGGGGGTGGGGTCGTTCCTAGATCGACTTTGTCAACTGTCGACACGTGATCCATCACAGGGTTCCGAAGGGTGCGTGATCACCATGCTAAAAAAATACATGTTATTTATTCAAGGACGAAGTCTGTATCCCATCCGCACAACACGCACGGTGGCGAGCGAAACCCAGAGTCTCTTGTTGGTCGCTCCTACAGCAGTATGTAGTGGTGTAGGGTGATGTGCTGGTTGATGTCCTCCCGATACACTTTCAAAGTGTCAAATACAGCTTTCCAAATTGTTCGGTCGAACGTACTTTGGATCCAAGGGCTTGCGTGACACATTGAGCGCAAACATACTTTGAGTCCGGTCGAGTTTTAGCATATACTTCGAAATCGTGTTCTATATACTCTCTCTCTATATATATATACTTTATCTGTTCCTCACTATCGCATGGCCCCCGTCGTGCAGGCATGGATCGAAGCAGTGACAGGCGAGCGGGTTGTGGGCCCCTTCGGAGACGCCTTGAGAGATGGCGTCGTTATCTGCAAGGTGATCGAACGAGCATGCATGTTCTACATAGAGAATGCGGAGTTCTCAGCTAGCATTGCTTTCTTTGCCCTGTTTTTGTACCGCTGAACAATCGAAACCCTTAGGGCGAACCTCATGTTAACCCTTCACCCCTTACGACCGTTTCCCCAACCCCAATTTATCCTAACACCCCGATAGCTTGTCAACACTATCAAGCCGGGTGCGGTACGGAAGATCAACGAGTCGAGGATGCCCTTCAAACAGATGGAAAACATCTCGAACTTTCTGAAATCCTGCAGGGCGATGGGAGTCGCCGAGCATTCGCTGTTCGAGGTGCGGGAATCAACGCAGTCGTCATTCTTGTGCTATTGGTTGCTATATGTGAAACCAGGTTTTGCCGTAGAGATGCGACGCAATCGTTTCATGTTCCGCTGCTGCTAGGCCTGCAGTTGTCACCGTCGACGTTCTGTGGTCCTGCAGGCCCGGATAGAGAGGCAAGAGCTCATCATGCCTTCTCGCGTGACGTCGCAGGTTTTTAACCGTTGTCTTTTGCTCTGTACTTGCTGCATCGTCGCTCTGTCTCCGAAAAAAGACGGTGGATCTGTACGAAGGAAAAGACATTGGGCTAGTGGTGCGCTGCATTTTTGCCTTGGGAAGCGCCGTTCAGGGTACTTGCCCGGAGTACACCGGGCCGACCTTAGGCGCCAAGCCTCATCAGGTGAATGAAAAAAAGCTGGAGCTACAGGGGGCGTGGTAGACGGGCAACTACCGGTACGAGAATGTTTTTGCCTTTTCCGCAGCAGGATAGTAGTGCTGCTTCTTCTGATCACAAATATTGTGGGTGTGCATGTCCGACTTCATTCACTGTGGACACCAGGATAGGTATCTTCCCAGTAGTAGGGACGCACATACAACCGTAGATAGATCCGTGACCCTGGGAACGACGTTTTCGAGGTCTGAAGATCTTTACAACGAAAAAAGACCCCCCCGTCTGCTGTGACCAGTCGGAGGGTGGAAGCGAGCCCCTGAAGCTCACTCTCACCTTTCAACCTAGCAAGGCCGATTAACGTTAGCCACGCTTGGCCATTCGTTCCACATTGCAATAAGAGGGAAATTACCTCCGTTGGTGAACGGTTATTCACCACTTTAGGGACCTTTACTCATAACGGAGTAAGGGTATTATCACTACGACTTATTTTAAATGTGGCTGTTGTGCTTCACAAACCAGGAGAACAAGCGTATTTTCAACGAGGAGCAGAAGCAACAGGCCAAAGTCAACGCCTCGTTCTCCAAGCTCGGCATGGGTTCGGCCCACAGCATGGAGCGGTCCCAGGCAAGATAATCAATGTGTCTTTTTTGCACGATAGAGTTTCAGGCGACTCTGGAAACCTTCCCGCGTCACCTCGACTCTTGCGTGCTGCTGAAAATCCATGAAACTCCCGGATTTCCCTCTGTGTGTGGAATCCTCAACAGATTTCTAAACCAGGCATTTGTTTTGGAGCCGAGAACGCTGGCACTGGGGACACCACCACAGTCGGCAAACTAACGAAGGTGAAACGGGGAAATCGTGAAATGGTGCCAAGTCGTTGTCGCGTGGAGTTGTCGCGGAGATTGGCTGATCGACACACTTGATGCCCTTGTGCCATCAGAGCCGAAACACGAAAAATCTGAGGAAGAAAAATATTTTGAGTATGAGACGTTCGTGTTTGTTTCTGCTCGTAACACCGAAGGGCTCACATGGTATTCAAGAGCGCCTTCCGGTGGACCAATCCAGGAGCATTACGTTTGGCAAAGACAAGGTCGGAACAGGCGACACCACAACCATCGGCAAACTCACTCAGGTTGGTCATTGTGGGCTTGAGGAGAGGGTGGGCGGTGAGGGTTTGCTGCGTACCTTGAAACCTCTGCATCGTCTCACATTGGTTTTGATACTGATTATGACAGAAGCCCGACCCGATGTCTTTAGGAGGCTCGCTACGTAAGATGTAGCTTCCCCGTTGAAAGGGCCCCGCGACAACCGGTAAATCTTCATAGATTCAAGGATACTGCTACCATCCACAAGTAAGTTCTGGTGTGTGTCTGTGTTTTCGTCCTATTTCTTATGGCGACAATCCTCCCATTTTGCGTGATGAGACGTGTACTACGTACACTCAGTGTTTGTAGAGTACTACGCTTTTCAGTGCGTATTTTTTTGCACAACTACAACCATCCAGGGTCACACACGAGGGGGTAAACAGCAGGGCTTTTTTTCTTGTTTTTCTTCATTATCGTGCCCCACCTTCCTCCTTCGGTGCGTGCTGAATGTTACTTTTATCGCGAGAAGGGTCCAGCCGTCCCTTTCCCTTGTCAACGGTGCTGACGTCGAAGTTTAGTACTCACGAGAGCTTTTTCAGCCACATTTCGCTTTCACCCGCAAAATTTTGTAAATTTTCCACCCCATGGGAATTCGAACTCAGACCTTTCTTTGCGACTAACGGTTTGTCGAGGATACCACTAGACCACCGGGGCGATCGGCGCATCTGGTGGAGGAGGAAAATGGAGTCTTGGCCTTACTATAACTAACTACGTACCAGGTTTGGCTTGTCGAGGGCAGCCAAAAACAACCAGATCATCAATGGTACGCCTCAAAAGCATCTTGTGGTTCTACGATGGCCACGAGACCTGTACAAGTATTGAAATGTCCCCTTTTCCTCGTAATACCGAAGGGCTCACATGGTATTCAAGAACGCCTTCCGGTGGATCAATCCAGGACCATTACGTTTGGCAACGATAAACTCGGAACCGGCGACACGAAGGTCATGACAAAGGCAAGATTTATTCACTTGTAAGCCGTTGTTCTGGGTCTGGCGAGAGTTGAGAATATGGCCCAAACACCAGTCATCCAAACGACAACCGCGTAGTTTGGCGACAGACATGTGCGTTACCATGTATTCAACTATTAAGGCGAATATTGTAGAATGCCCTTAAGTCGTCGTGTGCCTTTTGTTCGACAGAGCATCCCCTTGCTTTGTCTATGAACATATCAATGTGAGAAAGAAGCAAACAACCCCACCGCTGTCACATGTTCCACAGCCTAGCTTGAGCTCATACGGAATCATGGACCGCAACTCCTTTTCCAACGCCAACGACGTCACTTTCGGTGCCCCATCCAGTCAGGCCAGGCCGCTCGACGGAAACAAGGTATGCCCGAGACAAATGAAGCGCATTGCTCAGCGTATCTTTGTTTCCGTGTGTACGTATGAAGTTCAAGAGCGAAGTTGTTTCCCTTGTTCGTTGCGCGCAGGGGTTTTGGGGGTAGTCCAAATGCGATAGATACCGACTCCCGCCGCCGAGGCTTTCGAATTGAGAAAAATGGAATGTCTCTCCTCTTTACAGGAGAAGGATGCCGACGCCGGAGTCTCTGTGCCTGAGAAACCTACAGCGGACTGCCCCGTCAGCGCGGCCATGTCGCCGTTGGTATTCGGTTGCGACACCGTTGAGAAAAACAACAGGAGCTGGTTCCAGGCTCGCAGCGGGTAACAAGAGCCAAGGAAGACCGTGACACGAGCACATAAATCATTCGTAGAGTCTTACAAGTATCTGTTGAAGGAGGTCGTTGTTTCTTAGAATACTGATAGAGGCGTCCCGTCGGTTTTGTCGAGTATGTATGTCCAGCTTGCCGAAAGCAAGAAGCAGGAGATATTTAATGAAATGCGTCACTGGGTGAACGTGTGGCCAATATTAATATTGTCCAAGTGTGGGAAGGGTGGGGGTAAAGGGGAGATTTCGTTGAAGTCAACAGCAAGTTGTTGTAGATGCCCACCATGTTGGTTTTGCGGTGTTCTTCGGTGCAGGCCGCTGTGTTGTTTTTTGTGTTCTGTATGTATTGTGGGGGTTATCTCTCGGGCAACTGCTATCCAGTTTTCCTTGATACCGACAACTCCGTTCCGTTTGAAACCACTTGCACCACCACCATCTGACGACAACTAGGCACGGAACCATCAATCAGATGATAGGTCCCTCCTCTCCGTACTTGAACTCGCCTAGCTCCGACTCTGTAGTGGAGTCCTACGCTACCCACAACCTTTTCTCTCTTCATCTTCTTCATCTAGTCGACAAGCTCCTCGCGGTCAGCAAGAGCTCCCAACAAGTTTCCACATAACACAAAATGACCCCGACCACTACAAGCACCACATCCGAAAAAAATATAGGAAACACGCAAAAACGTTACCGGCCTTCGAGACACCCCAATCGATGCAACCCAGCGGAACGTTGTTTAGAAATGTACACTGCCGAAGGATGTGACGACCTCAGCTGCCCCTTCCATACGCTCTGTTGAGATTTCTGTGCTTCCTCTCCTTCTTCATTCGCGACCTCGCCGTGTCTGCCCTCACGCGCACCTGAACGAAAACGACAGGCAGTAGAAGCAGTTATTGGGGGCACATGAGAAAAAAATCCCTACATCGATTGAAGCAGATGTGTTTCTTCCTCACCGATGCTCCTCTAGCAACGAACATTGGGAGAGGATAGAGCACCTTTGCAATCTGCTGCAAAAGCTTGCGCCCTCCTGTGGTGATCAACCGCAGGCTACTGTACACTTACAAATCCTGCAGAAAAAAAGTAATTGTTTTCGCTTGCCTGCTTGAGTCGCTGCTCGAAGGCGGTATTCGGTCGAACGCCTAGGAACCTGTCTCGTGAGGCGCCAGACCAGTCCTCCATGTGCAGCAGCTCCTTGTAGGCGTGCTGGACCTCGGCATGGTACCGTTCCTCAGCCGCTGCCTCCACCGCCTGTTGTTCGAGCTGGTATGGGTGGCAGGACGAAAAGCAGGCAGCGAATATTTGAAACCGAAAAACTTGCACTTTCAACGCCTTTGTGTCAATGGAAGCTGTGCACGACAAGTGGCAACGCAGGTTGCCTCGGGCAACCACGCTGGTCCTATAAGAAGTATATTTTTGAAGGTGGTGTAGAGAGCACGGACGAAATGAAGATTTTCACCCAACCAAAGCCCTGCGCCGCTGAAGATTCGCGCAACTATTTGTTTTTCGACTCCAGCAAGCGCAACAGCCCTGCCAACAACCTTGGGTGGGAGTGTTACCTGACTGGAGAGACGGGCCTCGTAGTCCATTTCGGCGCGGCGGAATAGATCCGACAGCTCCCTTTCTTCCAAGGCCATTGTCTGGGCACGCTCCCTACCAGAACCTTGTTCATGTTCCACAATCAGCTCCACGCGCTCTTTGAAGCTGACAAACAAACAAGCAAGAACGTGCACCCCGAACGATTCAATGTAATGTCGGGTCTGCACAAATGACACTCGAGCAAACTCGATAGAAAGACATGCAAAGTAGTCGGACCAGTTGACGGCTGTGACGCGAAACATTAACATACTTAAATAATCACAACACAAGATGCTTCGCAGCACAACCCACAATACCACGCACGTACAATGGTAGACACTTACAACTTCTCGAGGTCGTCGGATTGCGCCTGCCACGCTAGATGAAGGGCCTTCAGTCGTGCCGCATCCTCCCGATCATCCTCCTAACAAAACGTTTAAAGAAATGTCCGCACGCATGAATTAGGATAAGCCAGCGCAGAACCAACTCCTGGGTTTGTTTGGTTTATACCTGGGTAGTCGTCAAGCTCAACCCCGACAACACATCCTTCGGAACGACTGCTTTCGAGAAGAACGATCCAACCTACAGAGGGACACAATCGCACGCTCACCTTCCTCTGACGGTGTAACGCTGTAAGAATTTTCTTGTACAAGTCACTCAGCCGGCCGCGGCCTTCGTCCTGCAAGTGCAAGCGCTGAGACAGTCTTGCTAGCCGTAGCTTCTCTTCCAAGCGCTCTTTCTTTATCTGCACAGGGAAAGAGTTGGGAAGCCAACACCAGACGACAAAAACACGTGACGTCAAGACACAGTAAATCACTCAGCGAGCGTATACTACCGAGTGTACATATGCCCAGCTTCAAGCTCAAGGTCGAAATCTCTCCGATTCAACACGTGTTGGCAACCGGCCATCCTATGGACCTAATGTGACCCTACCAAAAGGAGAGCGCACCTGGCGGACCTTCGCGACGTGAGTAGCGTTCTGGTGTGCAAAACGCTGCTTCCGAGCGTCCGCGAGTTCCCTCTGCACGAGGTACATCAGACGCACGCAGCACAGGAAAAAGGGCTGAGAGAGCATCAGAGACAACCTGCCTGCTTTATCTCTTAGCTGAGCGCTAACCAAGTCCGTGCGAGCCGATCAATCGAATCAATCACATTCGGGCGGTATTCCAACCAGCAGGCCCTCGTCGTGGGTTCAGAGATAGACTCAAACCATGCAGCGACACAGACAATCTGTACAGGTGAAGTTGAATCTAATTTGGGGGGTTGTGCGGGTGGAAGGCGCGTTCAAACATCCGTTTTCCCCAACGAATACGGCTCTACTCTGACTCTCAGTAACACCGAGAGCAGAGAACACAAGCAGGTCGGGATATGGGAACATGGGAACACCGCATATCACGCCGGGTGTCCTGGTGTGCTAGACTTAGGAACAGCAAGGTGTGTGAGTGAAATAAAGTATACCTATCAAATTTTCGTATGTCCGTTTTTGGGGGACGCAACAGGAAGATAGGGAGGATACCATCGGACAGGTGCAGATCCTGGGCTCCATCGCAAAGACAAAAACGAATACTTCCCCGACAAACTGCATCACATGGGCCATACCTTCCGCAGCGCCGTGAGACGGTCCTTGAGTACCCGTTGATAGTATCGGCGGTATTTCATTTCCCGATCCTCCTCCTGAGGCCCAAGGGCAGACAACAAGTTGGTGTCAGCGGCACGTGTTGCCTCTCCCCCAGGAAGCGGATCAATGCGTCTCAAATGACACCTCCACAGAATATCGGGCAATGCGATATCTGCTTTTAATTCCGTATTGCCGCCCGGGATATCGCACGGGTGACATACGATATCACACGCCCTGGGGTTCTGCCGAAGTGTCATTACGGAGCCCCTGACACTCGAACACGTATGCGTGACAGCGTGACCCCCGTATCGTACCATCACGCAGGAACCCCATTCCCTTGTGAAGTACCCATCGATCGTGCTTGTGCATTGATCCGTTCAACCACTCCCGCGGTTCGAACAAGCATGGAGCGGGTGTCTTCTTCACATCCTAGCCTGTGCGGTCGGTTGTCTGTGTTTAGTCGCTCAGTTGGCCCATTCCTGCTTCGTTTCTCACCTTCGCTTTGAGCGCGGAGTTTCGCGTATTTGATATAGCCCTGATAGCTCTGATTGTATTCGTAGGTTAAACGCGCTTGTATCACCTAAAGATGTAGACGTACTTCGTTTGTTCCGCATGTGGGTATCTTGCGCCAGTATAAAGTCATTTGTATCAGGGGAATAAACACTAGTGTGTGTTCGATATGAAGCATGGTGTGCTACCTGTGAATAGCACCAAAAACGCTGGCACAAAATGCCACAGCTCGTATATGTATCATCAGCATGTTCTGACGTCGAGGAATACACGTCTGTGATATCACACCGTCAGAAGAGATAGATAGCAACATTTATGTTTCGGGAGAGGTATCTCAAGCTCATGCCATCAAATCACCTACTTCATCACATCCCACACAGACCACCGCCGTGTGACAAAAGGCCTCGACTTCACAGCAGCGGCGGAGGACATCACCCCCCCAAATAGAAAACGATACCGTGTCATGTGTTTTCAAAATAGAATTATAGGCTTGTGGTACATGTACGTATCTAAAACTACGCATGATACGTCATCGGCGAGGTACCTTGCATCATGCACGGCGGTAAGACAGCGCGTGCAGCAATCAGGCGCCAGACAAAGGCAAAAAACCAACGCTGCGGCTAGTGATAGCTGCAAGTGTAGCACCGCGGCAATAGGACACGCAGCTCATCCAGCATTGAGTTCGACAAGAACACCATTCTATTCTACAGTGCATGTAGGGAGAAGGATGCAAGTGGCAAGTGGTAAGATCTGCATGGAGCACAAAGTGTTGAGCTTCAGCAGGTAAACCTCGCTACACAATGCAGAGCCCCCGGAGAAAGAAAACAGCACGCTACAGTATCAGCTAGATCGAGGCATGTCACCTGTCTATTGACACGCCGATCCATTCCAAGTTGCTCGCCCCTGAGCGGCCCCTGTTGCACATCCACATCTTCGGGCCTCTCAAAAACCCCTTCCCGCTCCTCAAACATCCTGTGGGCTTCGAGAATGTCACGCGCAGTCAGGGCCTCCCCCGAGGGGCTCGACTTCAGTTCCGTTTCTCCCCGAAAGGGGCTCAGCTCGGACCTCCCTAGACTCTCGTCCAGTCCGTCGTGATCAGACTCTTGCAAGCCTTCGTGCCGAGGCGGTCGCACCCCCAATCCGTGCTCCCTGTCTCCTCTACCAGTATCTGACACGCGCGTGGCGTGCTGCTCGTACACGTGACGGACGAGCAGAGTGAGTGAGTGGCACGAACTGCATGCAAAATACCATGGTTATTGAGTAAAAGGCAGAGGCGAAGTGGCTTATACCACTGAAACAGATGCGACGAGTCCCAATGCATCAGGTTCCAACAAAGAAGGTGGGTCCTTTTAATGATCAGTTGTGAGAAAAACGCGGAGCCGCGGGCGTGTTGGTCTATTGCTGGAAAAAAATAGTAGTGCGAGTGGTTCACCAAATACCACCACGAAGCTGGCACGACCACCGTTGGATATTGGATCCGAGGAGCGTTGAGCCCGTGGGAGCCTCTGTATACGAATAGCCGCGGTTTAGCCGGGGACGGTTGCCATTGTGCCTCACGCAACGACTGCGAACAACTCCTAATGACTGACATATATTACTTGCTCCTGATCTATTCTACTCAACTTGCTCTCTAGCGCAAAAGACGATGAGTTTACCTAGTTTTTTTGCTCCAAGCAAATGTGTTAATACAGCCTACATGACATCGCTATCATTTTGTTGCGTTTGGTTCAAGATAGATTACTAAAATATATGTCATATGTATGATGCGGAGCCAGGCGTGTTATTTTAGTGTGGTTGCCCAAGGACCGGTGTGGTGCCGTGCCTGCAGGCTATGTGTGTCGAATGTGGGATAAAAGCAACGGGGTTGCAGTCCATAGGTGACGTGTGGTTTCACTCGAGGTCTGTTGGCACGGACAACTAACTACGTCGTTTGTTGAATACAACATACCTAAAAACAATTCGATGATGTCGTCCGAAAACCCGTTGGAAATCTTGTCTCTACAACTACGAAAAGTTCGTATCACCCATCAGCAGGGATGGATAAGATCAGTTGTATTTCCCACCTAAAGACGTGGAAACAGCAAATAGCTCATAACGGTTACCTGGCGGTGACGACTGAAACGGCTAGCCGTAGGTGGTGGGTGTGAGCTTGTGCCATGGTGCTGCGCTTGGTTCTGCTGTTGTTGAAGTTGCGGCTGCCCCTGGCGGGCCTTCAGCCTCCGGCGAGATCCAGCCCAAAACTCCTGCGCAGCAGGCCCACCATCCGGTCGGGCTGGGGCAGGGAAAAGCAGCGACAACATCTGGGATTTAACTTCAGACTGAGGCGCACGAATGGCCGCCGCAGAGGAAAGCAGGCGTTCAATATTCGTAACGGTAGCATCCACCATTGGCGAGGGCAGCTGCCGACGCTGTCAAGCATCACAAACAGCAGCGTTTAATGTGCACGTCTGAGCAGCCAACAGCAAAATTGACCACATGCCCCTGCTGCACCTTGTTTTTCGTTTGGTCTCGCCGTCGAAGTCGAGAAACTACAGAGAGTATTCAAGCTACCCACCATAGGCAGCACACATATTAGTCAGTTTACGTACAGCAAGGAGTTCTCACCCTGGCGCTTGATAACCACCTCGCTGATCCCCATGAAGATGTCCACCAGGTTACTGGAAATGAATAAATGATAATATCATTTTCACAGAGGTCGAACAGAAAGGGTTCCAAACGGCAAATTAGAGCTCGGGCGCAATCGCCCACGAATATCGGGAGTAACAAAGAGGTGTTTAAGGCTTTCCACACTCTACCACAAGCGCAGTTGGGCTTGCCACACGCCAATCGTTGCAGTCGACAGTACGGACCGGGCTTCCCATGTCGGGTATACAAGACAGCACAGGTACGAATATGCACGAGAAAGGTTGGGGCAAAGGAGGTACTAACTCACCGTATGGCCACAGTATCACCCCTGACAATCGCCTCTCCCGTGATGTGCGAGAGGTCCATGTTCAGGATTGGGCCGGCGAGAGCATCTACCACCATCTGCGCGTTGTGGACGTAGTTGTGGACGTGCGCCGGCTTTCGCACGACTCCTCGCTGCCGGACCTGCCAGCACCGAAGAGCAGATGGCAATTGCACACACATCGCGAATACTTCTATATAGTAACAGCAGCCACATCGTGCTGGTCCTGGGGGCAAAGAGGGAGGCTTTTGTGACTGTACGCGTGCGGGCGGTGGGTTCAAGCGGTTGGTCGTCCACACGCGCACAAGTAGAGAGAATTGTCACCCACCCCCCGCGCTAGTCTCCACCATAGTTCCTCATAGGATTGTCGTGAATCAAATAGGTAGCTTCGACAACCGTAATCCCATAGGTTTGAAAAGTTACAAATAAAAGAGTCGTGTCCCCGCCCCACCCGTTTGCCATGTGTAACCGGCCCTAGGTGCTGCAAACCTATTAACGAGACTGCTGTAACTCCAAGTGATGTCAGTCAAACTCTGTCCAAGAATATACGCACATGCCCAAATTGAAGCCGAGAAGGAGTGGATACATTGCTTCTGTTTTTTTTAGGGTTGTGTATCGGAGCCGATATGTTTGATATAATCGGACGATATATATCGTATCGAATATCTATTGTCAGCCCCGATATGTTGGGCGATATATTTGAGGGGGCTCCGTGAATCAAAAAGGGGGCATATGTTACAACAGTTACACGTTTGGACCCCCTATGAGGCCTCGCTGTTGCGGCGGCTGTTGCTTTGGACCACAGAAGAGCAGACCGAACACCGAACACTAGCCGAACACCCCATGAGTACCCCACCAGCAGCGGACCAGGATGGAGGGTCCTCCACGCCGGTGGTTGCAGTAGAACCAGTTTCAGACACAGAGACAGCAAAGCGTTCGAAGAAAAACGAGCGGGCTGCGAAGGTGGAGAGGGTCAAGATGGAGCCGAAGCTGCCCAAGCCCCCGAATGCCTCACACCCGGTGTGGAAGCATTTCAGGGTGTATCGGAACCCATGCCATTCGGGCATCGCGATCTGTCAGTTGTGCGTGGCAAACGGCGACTTTCACTGTGCAGAGACCAAGTTCAAAAAAACACGAAAAACTTAGGCTGTGTTGTAGAAACATGACAAGATTCAGAGAGAGAGGGAGGACGAGGGAGGTGGGAACGTGTTTTGGAAGCAGCTTCGTGAAGACGTTCAAACGTGGTCGTGTTGTACCACCCAACCAAAGCTTCGAAAGAGAACTGACTAATCATCTGTCATTTATTGTCGATGGTTTCCAAGTTTTAGCGTTTTTCAGTAGTTTTCAGGATATCACCCACCAAAAAATGGCATGGTCGAAGTGCCCCAAAATCACCCAAAAAATATGCTCTAGTGAAGCCAAATCGCGTAAAAAAACGCCTCCGGCGGGGCGCCTCCAGCGGGGCCCCTCACCAGCCGGGGGGCCGAGGGGGGGCTCG